CAAGGCCATTCTAGACAGTGCTTATGGTTCCACCATATGCGCGCAACGCATCTCGGAGGTGGCCGTCCGCTCTGCTCCAACGAGAATACGCAGATAATCTAGTTTTGACAAAAGTTGCATCAAGCTGCATAGAGTGCCTAATTCTGCCCCCTATTTCTGAAGGGATATGTACTTAAGTCAAGGGAATTTAAAATAAAACACCCTGTACAGCCTCCTGATCGTATATCAACAATAAACACATTAGACAATTAAAGAACCCATTTAACTACGTAGTCTACTTATCCATCATAGAAGTGCAAAAATCAAGGAAAAATTCAACAAAATCAGGCAAACTGGGTTGCATACGCAACATTAGACCAGTACCCGGTGGTATTCAATGGTAGGGTAAACAGATTTAAACAGACCATCATTAGTAAATTCAGCTGTGGTTAAAAGTCAATGTGGCCAAGTTTGGCGAAGGGTTTGGCAGGTTACCAACCCTCATCTGAACGTCCTTCTTTGTTTCATTCTGTTATTGGTTAAAACAGTATTTACGCCAGATGGATTTGGATTTTACCAGCCAATATGGCCCACACACACACACACACACACACACACACAAAGTTTAGTTTCCTGCTTGCTTTAGTCTACTCCCTGCACAGTAAATCTGGTGTACCACATGCTGCAGTTTGTGGTCACTGCGCCGTCCCAAGGTGCCTCGACAGAAGCCAGCCCCTTTTATGGCCGACATTCTCAATATGGTGCTTAACGCTATTTATAAACCAAGAGTCTGTCACAGTGGCACAGAAACCTGAGATGGCAGTGGAGGGACGATGAGATGGGGGGGCAACGGGTGAACATCATGCTGAATTTGTGTTTCTGTGTTATATGGAGTCTGTCACATGAATTGCTGATCACGTGCGATAAGATGTAATTGTTGACTTGACGCTGAACATGTATTTCTGCAGGGCTGTATGGAATGTCATTATTGTTGCAGGGACACCACTGAAAACATGTCCTTTAATATTAAGGCTGCATGTTTCAATTATATATTATTTTCAAGGTATAATCCCATATTATACTAATTTTCACGATTAATAAGTAGTTGTTAGTATATTGGAAGCAATTGGGAAAATTTGTCATTGAATTTCATCTATAATTATTGTTTAGGAAAGAGTTGCATACTGTTAGTATATGATGCAAAACGGCTGTTAACGGGACTTTCTGATTGACATTATATTGCAACAAACTCCTAATATTATTCTTGCTCTTATTTCTATTTGGGGGATGATCATTCATTACGTTTTGGAAATAGAGTTCTCATAATGCTTTGGGGGATGTAAACAGGAAGTATAATGGATTCATTGAGGTATATGCTGCTACAACTTGAGCCCCATTTTCTATTGCATTTATCGGTATGTAAATTAACACATGATTAAAAGTATGCCAAATTAGCTAGTAGCAGTTCCTGTTTGCAATGTACCTTGAACGTACAGACAAGTATCACTAGATTACTTTGATACTGAAGAAAACATAAAAAGTTTCTCAGGCAAGTGCTGGAGTTATGAGGAGTGTCTTTTTTCTATGATTTCTAAGCAAATTTTTTGGACATGTATTTGTGATCTACCTCCATACATAATGTTATTGTTGGAAAGTGTAAGTCACACTGAATCTAACAACATTTTTGGCACAAATTGAGGTACTGTGTTTTAAAGGAACTTAAGATCCTCCATGAGCTGAGTGTGTCAGTGATCTGACTTAATAATGCTAGTTACTCGGCAGTATCTGTGTTTACACTTGGCTCACATTAGGCTAAAATGTATCCATGTTAAGTTGCTGGTCACACTGGACCAAGTACGCCTGTAGCAGTAAAGCCCCTGAAAGTATTGAATTGAACAAGGCTTTGCTTCATTGCTCATGAAGCAACCTTTCGGGGAGGGAGAAGATTTTTCTTTTTTCAAAAGTTTATGCTGTAGTCTTGCTTTAACACAACTCCTATCATTACTCCTTACTTACTTACAGTGCAGTTTAGATGCAAGAAAATACAAGACAGCCTCACCCATGCAATAGTCAACTCTGCTGCATAAACTTGAGTCATAGGGTGGCCGTCACTGTGGAACCTGGTTTGCACTCACAGTAGACATCAAATGTGTTTGGTGATAATCCATAGCAATCAATATGCAGTACAAAAAAACCTTTTTTTCCTAGATTTTTGTAAGCATCTAAACTCAGAAAGTGGAACATTAGACCTGGATAATAGTCCTGCAACCCCAAAAATGATCATATATGTAATAATAATTTTCCGCAGCAGACTAATAAACAGACAGTAATGTTGGGTGTTTTCAACTCATTTATTTCAGTGAATGCATTGTTGACCTTAGAATAATGTAGTCTACTTTTTTGACAAAGACAACAAAGGCACACCCCGCAGAAAGTCTTAGGGTTGTGCAGATGTCATCTGTTTTTGTTCAGTATACACCATTAAAGTTCAATTTATCCATCCATAAAAACATGGACATTATACTGCTCCCCTCCTATTCAGCCAATGCTGATTTCCAACACATTGGAAATGAATATCCATAAAATAAAACCATAAAGAAAGACAACAGCAAACCATACTTCACAGTAAAATCTGTTTAAAGAAGGAGAGGGTAACAAAGGGTTTTATGTGTATTATATTTTTCTGACAGTGTTATGGTTGCAGTATAATCAGCAAAACTTGTTAATATACTTGTTTTTTGACTGTTTTGGACTTAGTCTTAGACTCTTTTTATCCCCCAAGAATAATTATAATTCTAGGAATTTAAGTGAACTTAGTTGTCTCTTTCCTAATTTGGAATCACAGTGTCTCTTACAGCCATGTAAGGGTGGTAAACTGATCAAATTCGAACAGTCAGCCAAACTTGGTGAACAAGTAATCTTCTCAAGTAAGGAGGAACAGTGCAATCCTCTTTTTGCCAAATCCTAATCCTTTTTTCAACATCAGGTAGATGCAGTGCCATCCTGTTTGAACATAATTCTGCATCTTTTTTTCTTACAGTTGCTCTTATCTAAACACACACGGGGCTCTAATACACAGCCTATTATTATTCCTCGATTAGTATTCTATAGTGCTACCTGTGCATTAAGCTCTGTGTTGAAGTAGCTGGAGGTAGCTGGAGAGGAGCCCAGTGTTAATCTGTGATTTATGTGGTTCAGTGAGCGTTTGGACGGGCCTGAGAAGAGCGTCACGCTCCATCTGCCCACTGTTGGCTGACTTGAGTGGAGATCTGGCTGCAAGCCTGCAGCTTCTCACCTTCCTACCTCACTATCTTCGAGCTCCCGTCTCATTATTTCTCCAGCTATGGGCCTTAGCTGTTTCTGTCTTTATCTCTTCTCCCTTTTGTCTTTTCAGATCCTACACTCCCATTTTTTCCTCCTCTGTCATTATAAAAATAGCCAGCTGCACCATTTTTCCGTTCTCTCATTGTCCTCCTCCCTATAAATCTCTCTTCTCACCCTCCACATGTCCTTGTAGAAGTGCACAAATTGTCCCTTCTTCTTCTTCCTGCTCCAGCCCCCCCTCCGCCTGCCCTCCATGCGTCATTGCAGCTCTGCATCAGTTTGTCACAGACTTCTTCAGTGTGACAACCAAAGAGGGATAAAGGGAGAGGGGGACTCGGCAGCATTATCAGCAGGGCGACGGGGTGTGAAAACAAAGTCAGAGCTGGGATTAAAACAGGATGTGTTTTGAGGCGTTTTGCTGGGTCGGAGGTCAGGACGCCTGGCCTCATGACCGGATCTTTGGAAAGCCATCAGTGTTGCTTGTGTTATTTGGCTAATTATTATGGCTCCAAGGACTGATAATTTTATCGATAATGTGGGGGTACTCTTACAACATTACGTGTCAAAGTTGATTTTCAAGTCTAGAGGAGTTATATGTTAATAGATGTAAATGATGCCTAAAATTCAGGATATCTGGCTTCTGCATTGCTTTTGACTATTTACTGATTTTAAATTTGTCTCTCACAGGTCCCCCACCTTTATGGAAGTGCAATAGTAAATCTCTCAAGTACTGTTTTGTCTGTTTAATCTATAAAAGGTTGGAAAATATTACAAAACCTCAATTAAAATGTTCTAAAAGCAAATTCAACGTTTTCATATTGCTTGTTTGGTCTGACCAACAGTTCGAAACCCCAAATTTAATTTACAATAATTTGGAACAATATATACAATGATATATTTTGTTTAACAAGTATTTGATTATGAAACATTTTGTTGATTAATTCACAGCTTTAGAAACCAGGAACATTTTGTGCCCCACAGTGAAGTCAAGGGATTTATACATAGTTTAGGTGGCTCTATGGGAATAATTAAGCCAGTCTATCATTAATTATCCCCATGATAATCACTATGTAAGCAGTTCTTCTTTTTTAGGGAAGCAAGCTGAAATAGACTTCCACAACAATCTTCAATGCCCCCCCCCCAGGAAAAGTCAATGTGTATCTTTGCCTTGATGTCTTACTTTTACAGTGAATGTGTTGCTTCGGCGACACTCCTTAAACTCAGATTTACTCCCACACTTGTGTCTCACCTTCCGCTGGAGCGTTTAACACTGTTGACAGGAGGCCTTTTCTCTGCAGGACTAAAACCTTCAGGGACGGAGGGGGAAGTGTTGCAGCTTGCTGTGGATCGTCTGATGTGTGTGAATTGTGCGTGAAAGAGATGTTAGTGATTTCTAATGAGGCGAGAGTGTTGTGTAAATGAAGTCACAAAGTGATTTCATTGTTTAAACTGTGGGCGTGTTGGAAGCATCACCTTGGAGACTGCACTCTAATGGTGAATGACACGACAGAAAGATGTCACACAAAAAGTATCAGTGACATCACAAAGAAAATAATGTACATAGATTATCAGGATGAGTTACTGTTGTGATATATTAGATAATTAAAGAAAACATCCACTATCAGGTGTAAATTCTGTTTTTCACTCTGGTATCTTGTTATTAATCAATTTGATACATGTTCTGTCTTCCAGCTCTGCCCTTGCAGACAGAGTCCATCCAGAGTGGGGACAAGTCTTTGGGGAAGGACCCTCTGACTTCAGAGGACTCAGCCGTCACAGACCTCTCTCCTAAAACAGACTCTAGCCCCCAAACAGAGACCCCGACCAAGACCGATGCCTCCTCCAAGACAGATGCCAGGCCCTCCACCCCAGGCACCAGCAGCAGCCCTCAGCCCAAGAAAGGTAGACCTATGGATGGTTGTGTTGGTCAATATTTGTAATATATGAGTCTTGGTTTAGCTTCTAAAGTCCAAAACAGCAACATTTGCCTAACTTTAAACCATCAAATCAAACCATATGTGATTGTTGAACATTTCATTCCTAAACCATGGGGAATAATGTTCTGTTAGAACAGCCTCCACTCTTCTTGGAAGACTTTCCACAAGGCTTTGGAACCTGGCTGCAGGGATTTGCTCCCATTCGGTCACCAGAGCATTGATGTCGGCCACTGCTGTTAGGCGATGAGTTCTGGCCCACAGTCGCTGTTCCAGTTTACCCCGAAGGTGTTGGATGGGGCTGAGGTCGGGGCTCAGTGCATGCCAGTCAGGTTCTGCAACAACAAACTGGGAAGACCATTTCTTAGTTGGTGCACCTGACTTTGTGCACAAATTCATTGTCCTTTTGAAACATGAATGTTGCCACAAACTGTTGCCACAATGTTGAAGTCAGATGATTGTCTAACATATAATTGTATGTTATAACATAAACCTTTCCCTTGGCTTTAGTCAACCATTAAAAATACCCCCAAAAGTACAGAGAAGTCTAGGCAGTGAACATCAAACATACATTATTACTGAATTTTTAAAAATGAAACAGTTTGGCCAGCTCAGTAACTTGTGCTTTTACTGGCAAGTTAAGAAATGTATATGTCCACTATGTGTAGAATTAACATCTTTCAAATTATAAAAAACGAGACTATCTCGGTGTTAGTTAACAATGTCAACTAGGGAGAAATTTTCAAAGTCTTCACACTGTGGCTTTGACTGTTTCCATGCTAATATTTATTAGCAGCCTTTAGTTTGATCTTTGAGATGATAAGCTACTTTTCTGGCAATAACTTATGAGAGGGACTTACGTAATGTGCAGTACTGGCACTTGTGTTCTTTATTTGCAGGCATCAGGCAGACAGAGTGCTGTCAGTTAGGATACTGTAACAGTATAAACCATTTCACTCTTTTCTGTTACAATCTGGTCTGTTTGCCACCCCTTGTTTCACAGTATTAGCTGTTTAATAGCCAATGAACTGTAAAATGTGGAGTCAGCATTTTCTGCTACTGCTGCTGGCCATGTGACTGTGTCAGACTGTGGGCTGATTTGTTTTTTGATCAAAATCTGCTTCATGTTAATCGTCAGCTGCTCCTCATAAAACACTGCAGTGCCCCTCACATGCTTGGGGGGGGAGTAGAAAAAAAACACTTTAAAAGACTTTAAATGTGTGAAAGGAAAAGTAAAAGGTCTATGGTAATTAAGGTGGGGTATTTCTTATCCTGCATGTTTCATTTCTGACCTTGCTTTCAAAGACAAAATCAGCACACACGTATCAAGCATTCATGCATGATTTCCACATACTTTTTGTCCTAATGGAAGTTTCGAAGTATGTTGAGTCATTCCCACCAGACAGATGGTAGTGGCTGAAAGCCAAATCCTCATTTGCTATGGGGAGACAGGGCGGATAGTGTGGAGTCGGGCGGGGGAAGGTGGAGGGGGGGAGGTCTTGGTGCATTAAGTGACGTCTCAGTGGGACGAGACCTCCAGGCCGATGAGATTTATTTTTCTCTGCACTTCATAGCGTCTGCATATCAGGCAGACTGAAGTGTACAGCCGTGTAGGAAACTCTCTGAAAGGTGGGTAGTGAGGGAGGAAATTCAGGTTGCCATGGAGACGGGGCTGCAGGGCCCTCTGCAATTGGTTGAGAATGTGCAGCATACATATTACATAGCACGGAGAAGAAGTGCAAAAGGAGACAGGCTCAATGAGAACCCCAGGGGTCGTTTTTCAGTCGTGGCTTTTCACAGCCAGTTTTAAGGCATGCAAATCATTGTGTCAAACCACAGCATCTTTCAAAGTGTATCAGGGTTCATATTGATTATCTCTGCAGATGCTAAGCACACGTACCTCACAGTTACAGCTGAGTTTAATAGTGTAGGGCCGCATTTACCTTGAAACTGAATCAATGAATGAAAAATGCAGATCTGAATTGAACTTCCAGGCAGGGAGTCCCAGTTATTTAACCTCTGTGGGGTCATTATGAAGGTGATGGATACCGTTTGGTTCATTAGTTCTCCTGGCACGACGACAGTCATCATGGTTGTTGGAGGCACCTGAGGCCAAGTCTGAACGACTGTCATTGGCGTTGTCACATGAGGGCAAGTGTGAACATTTGTTCAATCTCCTGGGAAGAGATTAAAGGACAGCATTGTAGTTGGGGGATAGGTTGGGCCTCAGCCATCCCCTGTTGAGATATGGTTTCTCTACTCTGGTGTACATGGCTTCTTTGACTCCTCTTTCAAATCATCTGTGCCTTTCGGGTGGACCAGTATCTGTCTTAGTGTGTTCTTGGGTTTAAAAAACAGTACTCCAGATCCGTATGGAATCACAATGTTGTTTACTCTAATTTTCATTATCACCCGTGTTGTTGGTGTTCTCGATGGATCTTGTGGCTGTTCTCACAGATGTCCAGTTTGCATATCCACAAGCTTTAAGTGCATCCTTCAGGTGTTTATGTTCCTTCTCTTGGGCTTGGGCACTTGTTTGTATGTTATCAGCTTGGTGCATCTGATGACCCCTAGCTTTTGCTCCAGTGGGTGGTGAAGGTAAAAGAGTAAGTGTTGGTCTATGTGTGTGGGTTTCATGTATACTTCAATGTGGAGCGCCAAATGAAACCAATCATATCTTTTTTGTGGTGCTGATAGTGTCACATATTAAAGAATTACATATACAAAGGTCTGCAAGCAACATGTCTTTGAAAAACACTGGCCCTGTTACTCTGGACCCACAGCCCTGACTGTGAACAGTTTTTCTACTGAAGACATTTTTTAATAATTTGGTTGAATTATAACTTTAAAGTTAATCAGTGCAAGACAGAGGGTTAGATTACGTTGAAGTTGGGAATTTATTATAAAAGTACAGTAAACACTTTACAGTGTGTTCCTATTATACTGGATAATCCACAAAAGTGTTTTTCAACTGGACTGTTTCTGGTATGAAGCAGTTCCACTAAAATCTGTTTGCAGGATTGTGGATTAAGCAAAGTAACATTGACCATTGTTTCAGGAGTTACGTATTTCTGTGGAGTTTTTATGTAAATCTTCAATGCTGTGACCACTACAAGTCTGTTTTTTCTGCCAGGTCCAGGACATGGTGGCAGCAGGCTAAGCAAAGTAGCTCGGGCTCTATTCATTGGGGATCCCAAGACATTCCCAGGCCAGATGGGATATGTAATCCCCCCAGCATGTTCTGGGTTGGCCTGGGGTCTCCTCTCTGTTGGAGTTGTTCCTAGAAAACCTCAAGAGGGAGGCATCGAGAATGCATCATAATCATGCTCAAATCACCTTAACTGGCTCGCTTTGATGTGAATGCACGCTCCTTCCCCCTGTGGATGGGAGTTGGAGGTTTTTGTTGATTTGGTGTTGCTACCAGGAATTGAAGTTAATTCAATGTTACAGATGTTTGGACATCATTTAACCAATTCAAGAGAGTGATAAATAAAAAGCAAGAGAGGGAGGGAGTGTGCATATGGATAGACAGAGAGGTGAAACTGAAACCTTACTTTAATCTCAAGTACACTGGTACACTGCAGACTTGAGTCTCTGCTAAAAGTGTGAACAACAACAATAGAATAAAAAATACGCAATGTGAAAGGGATCTCTGTTAGTGACGAAACCACAGGAAATCATCACCTGAAGCAGTTCCCCTCCCCTTTACAGTGCATTTTGTTGTCTTTGAGCTTTTGGTTCACTGTCACCGCTCTCATCAGTGCTGGTTCCAGCAGCAGCTAGCAGCTGAAGAAAGTGCAGCATTTAGCAGCTAAAGAGCCAGGTATTTCCCTCAGCAGTGGGTGGAGACCAAAGCATAGCTATAAGAAGAGTGAATATTGGACTTACATTCATCCGGTGACTCAAACATCAATCAATCAATCAACATTTATTTAAATAGCACTTTACAGCAACCAATAGGTGTCCAAAGTGCTTTACATCAACCAAGAATAAACAACACAGCAATAAATAAAAGAAAAGAAGAAACACATGAAGCATAAAAAACAGTAAGCCAGATAAGGTTGCCTAAAATCATCAGAAGAAGAGGGAAGTTGTTGCCCCACTACTGCGTATTAAAAGCTATTCTAAATAAATAAGTTTTAACATGAATCAGAATAGATGATAATGTTGCTCGCTAAAATGCTGGATGTGGAAACAAGCTAACTGAAAGTTGTTGATGTATCAGTGTTGTGATTACAGCTTGTTGCAAAGCCCACCAAGCTGCCAAAAAACAATTATTGCAGGTTTAAGATGAAAGATTCAACTGAAAGCTTTATATTATCTTTTCCCTACAGATTCGATAAGCTCAGAGCAAAGACAGAAACTTGCCAAGGAGCGGAGGGAGGAACGAGCCAGATATATCGGTAAGAAATTATAAAACAATGGAAATTATTTTGGGCTTAACTTTGAACAAACTGGATTTTCCTGAGGATGCATGAATTTGTTATTACCTACTTGATGAGTACACGTCTTCTATTCTATTCTATTCATTTCGTAATGTAGTATTAACTTTTCCTCTTTCCGCTGTCACACTGACGTGACTGACGGTTATTTACGTCTCTTATTGTTTCTCCTTGCATGGCTTTCAGAACAGCAAACTCAGCTGCAAGGTAAGGGGCTTCACTAAAACCCTCAGCGTCTGCAGCAGTCATGCCTCTTGGGAATAATCAAACTTGCGATGGGAATCACTCGTGCCCTTTCTTATTCCCTCCATGAATCAATTTTATTTTAAATGGTTTTTTTGTAATACTTTGAACCCTTTTTGAATGTTTCCGCTCATGTTATTTAAATTTAATTTCACTTTCTCGTTCTTCTGCATTCCCACCCGGCATGCATGCCCCATACCTGTAATCATGGTTTGACTTTGTGGCTACAGAATTAAATTTTTCTCTCTTAAGAAAACATTGTGCTAGCCCAAAGACATGAAAGGCTATATCTAATTTTCAAACACAGCACTTCTCCCTGTGGATGAAGCCCAAGGCGTAAGCAGCCAATCAGAACAGAGCTTGGTGGGCGTATCCCCACAGAGCCATCGCTCAGAGCCCAGGCCGTGAAAAATGAGCAGTCATTACCATGAACTGAGATCAGGCCTCTCAGACAGATTAGATTTAATTACTACTTTCATTAGCATCTGTAATGGGTAATGGTTGCAGCCGCAGCACCGTGAAAAGGGGGTTTCTGCAGCCTTTTTATTGATAATATCTGAGGTTTACTCAGCTTTAGTTGCCCTGAGATAAGTTTAGTTTTCTGCAGTCTGCTTCTGTCTGTAATTACATGGTATAATGTTGAGGCTTTTTCATGTGGAACATGCAATTTGTTTAAAAAAGTAATTGCATGTAGGTCACAAAACTTGATGTTTACTGTAGGTTTGTCTCTTCAACAACAAATCTATCTGAACATGTTTTGCAAAATTGAGCCTTGTTGTTGAATATTTTGTGCATTGGTAAATCTCTGCAAAAATGAGAATGTGAAACGTTCCCTCACAAGCATTAAACCGACATATTTTTCAATCCTGATGCACAAAATGCAGACATAATTGGATTTTTTCAGGAATTGGATTCATGGAGGAGTGAAGTGGGCTCTCTCATTGTGAACGAGGCTCAGACTTGTGTGCCACTTTGGCTCATTAGTGAAGATGAGCAGCAGAATTCTGAACTAAATACAAAACACGTCTTTGCCTCATAACACAGCTACATCCTCGCAGAGCTAAATCCACTACAAAGTATTTCTAATGCCATCTAACTCACAGCAAAATGCGGTAATACTGAAACATGTCATGCCATTACTTTCTAGCATGTAACCCACCCGCATTATCATTGTCCATACTGACCTTTTTATTGTTTAAACTCTGTGTTAAAATATTTTTTGTAAGCAGGCTAACATGTAACTGATAAGAAAAAATGTAAATCAAACCTATAAGGGAGAGAGCGACACAGCTGCTGTCCAGCATAAAGATGTTTTAATTGATTGCTATTTAATTGTTCCTCCAAGAAATGAGCCACAGCAGCGTATGTGCAAAGAAAAGCTGGCATCTGTTGGAGGGAGTTGTAGAACACAGCGGGAAACTTCTGCTTATTTACTGTCACCAGGATTATAGTGTAATGAACACAGTGTCTTCCATCTGCTTCACCCATTCTGTTTGTGTGTTGTTGGTAGAGCCCTATTAAGAGATTATATACTATTGGATTTGAAAAATCGACTTTGGTATAACCTACGGAAGGAGAAACGTCTTTAAATCATGATTGAATTATTACATCACACAAGTTTTTATTTCTGTTGTGCCTTTTAATAATATTTCTTTGAAATGGCTCTGGTGATGCGAATGTCGGTCTTTTGCACAGTCAATCACTTTCGTCCAAACAGAAATTTTTTATAAAAGAAATACTGGATGGATTGCCATGATATTTAGTACATACATTCGTGGTGCCCAGAGGATTAATGATAATGCCTTTAGTGATCCTTTGGTAAAAAACTTGACAACACTAGCTTTGATGACAGAGGAACAAAATGTGATCCTCAGCAACCGTTTTGTTTTCTATCTTTCTCCTGCTTAATTTTCACTTTTTACTCTGTCCGTGGTGACCCCGCAGCGGCAAAGAAGGCCCAGTGGCTGGAGAAGGAGGAGAAGGCCCGGCGCCTGAGGGATAGCCAGCTGGAGGAGCGCAGGAGGAAGCTGGAAGAGCAGAGGTTGAAGGCTGAGAAACGCAGAGCTCTGCTGGAGGAGAAACAGAGACAGAAACTTGAAAAGAACAAGGTGAGAAAATGCACTAAAACCGAGTTTAACTCACAATGTAGTTGTTCAAAACCATCAAAGGAATCACACGTAAAGTGTAATGAAAAAATAATGGTGTAACCCTTTGATGCAATTTCAAAGCTTGTTTCTAGTTATTAACATTGAGCTAATATGCTTGTAATTGATGGTATCTTGTCCATATATTCAATAATACAGACAAAAAGTATTTTATGTATTCATTGTTACCTGAAGTCAGATTGGAAAATCAGCACAATGCAAGTGTTTATTCTTAGCACAATTTTTGGCCACTGGAAAATTGCATATCAGTCGTGATCCCAAGTGCTGGCTCATACAGGCAAATTACACAAGTTACACATCCCTACCTGCAGAGTTTTCAATTTGAGTCATTGTTAAAGGAATTATATGATTTCTTGTTGGAAGGTAAATGAGAAGTACCACTTCCATGTCTGTATAAGTACTGAGCTACAGCCAGCAAGCTATTAAACTAGCTTAGCATAAAGATTGGAAGCAGGCATAAACAGCTACACTGGCCCTGTCCAAAGTTTAAAAATACACCTACCAATGTCTCTAATGCTCAGTGTCTATGTTTGACCCATACTCAAAAACAAATGCAAAAATTACTAATTACTAATTGTACAGGGAATTTCATTCTTTCATTGGAAAGAGCCTGATTTGTTGCTTCCCACTGCTTTCAGTCATTTGACTTTTTTTTGCATGTTTCTTTCCTATTATTTTCACCTCCTAAGTTCACTAAATAAAGGAATAGTTCAACATTTTGATCCCACTCTAATGTCTGTATGCTACATAGGAAAGCTACAGCCAGCAGCAAGTTAGCTTAGCTTAGCACAAAAAAATAGATGCAAGGGTAAACGGGTAACCTGTCTCTGTCTGGCCAAAAAACTCCAGCAACACTTTTTTGAAACAAACAACATATAATACCAGTGAGCTTGAAGTTATTGGAAGGTGGATTTCGTTATTTTTGGACAGAGCCAAAATAGCTGCTTCCCCCTGTTTTCAGTCTTTATACTAAAATAAGCTAACCGGCTGCTGGCTCTAGCATCACATTTACACTACTCTCCGAAAGCAAGAGTATTTCTCAAAATGTGGAACTATACCTTTAAACTGTCAAATGAGCTCTTAAGAGTGTGTATATGTGCAGAGTCATTTTTGACCATGTGCTCCTCTAGGAGAGATATGAGGCAGCTATTAAGAGGTCGACAAAGAAGACGTGGGCCGAGATCCGCCAGCAGAGGTGGTCCTGGGCGGGCGGACTCAACCAGACCTCCCGCAGAGAAAGTGAGTCTCAAATGAACAGCAACCACATGGACACTCATAGAAGTTAATCACAATGCCAGGAGTATATGACATCCTTACAGTAACCCAAACCTTCATGTTGAGCAATGCTGCACAGACTGTGACTCACAGGTCCAACTGATGCAATTCAAGTAAATAGCTTCTGAAGGGTTTGCTGTTATAAGGGCGGGGTACCAGAGACAGATGACCTACAATTTATGATGTTAACCATTGTAATTCCTCAGTGAATGTCTTTTTTAAGGAAAAAACTGTTCTGAGTACCAATTTTCTCCGTTTTTAAGATGATCACAGCGGCATAAATATGAGCAACAAGGTAGCTGTCCTGAGCATGTTTCATTAGCTGAGCAGTGTGAACATTGTTTTTCAGAGAGCTGCGAGGTAATTTCCCTTTCCAGAATGTCCTGTTTTTTGGTGTCAAACATGTGACAGGCTGCTGCTTTTGGACCCGTGACCCTGAGGTCAAGACAAGTTTCTCTCCTTCAAAGTTTGAAAGATCCTGAATGTGTGAGAGAGTGTGTGTGTGTATGATGTTTTTAAGCTAAGAAAAAAGCAAAAGGCTTACTCTAGAGGTTACTCTAAATGTGATTTCTAACTATACCACACCCTTCCCACACTTTCCTCAAAGTTCCTCCCCATTTCCCGCAAATCTGAATTCAGAATAATCTCCCCCTAAATGTTAATGAGAAGCCAGTTTGACCTCAGAGATTGGTGAGTCCCTGCTCTCCTCCAGATCCAGACCAAGGGAGTCGGCAGCCCCGTCTCTTATCAGTCCTCAGCTGGGGGCGCCCGCACCTCGGCCGCCTTGTGAACAGTTGTTGTCTGTTGCGTTCTCTCCGGTGCAGGCAGATGCTCGGCCTCCACGGTCAACTTGCCGAGACAGGTGGACCCTGTCATTAACAACAGGCTGTCAAAGTCCTCTGCCACGCTCTGGAACTCCCCCAACAGAAGTAAGGACGACCCGACGTCAATGTCCACCGGGCTCCCACTTCCCTCCCTTCCCCTTCCTATTCATCCCCCTCCACCTTCCCCTCCTCCTCTTACCCTAATCTGGTTTTTGGTTTTCTTCTTTTATTATTATAACTGTCGTCTCTGGTGGCCTGCCTGCCTGCCTGTGCTTGGTGACTGGTCATTTACCACCTACTCCCTCCTCTTATCACGCTCTTGGTCTCGTATGCATCGTGGTTTTTAATTTCACTTGGTGGTTATCATTGATTTGAGTCTCCTCTGCATTTTTGATCAGCCTCCCTTTTACATTGACATCACTGAGCCATATTTTGTGATATGCTTTGGTTTGTTTCATAGGTTCATAAGTTCACGTCTTGTCACACCTTCGTTACTGGTTGTCCCCCTCCACTTCACTGTTGGTGGTTTGGTGTGGTGGTGGTATTGGTGGTGGATATTATAGTGTGACTGTTGCAAATGAAAGTGCAGCAACTAAATACATATGCATTGTATTATATTTTGGTTTTATGTATTATTTCATGGAAATATATAGCCTGTTTCCTAGGATTAAGCCTCTCTTGCTTTGTTAGTCGTTTACAGGAACGTACTGCCACCACCATGACTAAAAATAGTTGCTCTGTTTCTTGTTATAAGGTGAAACGTTTCTCATTGTAACACAGTCCTTTTTTAGATATTTTTAATATTGTTGTGTTCTGCTTTTACAAGGAACGTTTCTTCTTGTAACAGCATGTCATTTTGTCTTGTTATATCATAACCTTTCCCGTAACTACACAAAAGCAACAAATCGTTAAAACAAGAAACCTTTCTCCTCATAACATAGTAAATTGGTATGTTTACAGACATGCTAACAGCTCTGTGAGCCACAGCAGTGCTTTGAGCTAAATGTTAACATCAGCATGCGAACATGCTGTTAATGACATTGCTGTTGTTTTGCAGGTGTACTTTTCACCATATTCACTAATTAGCATTAAGTACAACTAAGGCTGATAGGGCTGTGAACTAATTTCATTTGTAAGAGGAAAGCATGGTGTTGCTTTAAGTCATAAATCAAAGTATTCGGAAAAATAAATGTTTTAACTGATGATGGCGCTAGACGAAAAGTCAGGGGATCCCTAAAGTTGTTACAGTTATTCAATAGTTGACGAGACACAAGGAATGTAACCTCATGGTGGCGCTACAGGTGATCACCAAAGATATAGTAGGATTTATCCTCTGGGGAACAGGATAATCTGTACAAAATTTCATGGCAATTCATCCAATAGTTGTTGAGATATTTCAGTGGCTGACTGATAGACCATGTTGCCATCCACAGAGCCATAAGGTTTCGTGATATAACCAGATAAAGTTACATGTTGTTATAATAAAAAATGTTTCTTTGTATGCAGTGAATAAATGTTTTTTTGACATGGTGGCAGCATTACGTTGCCGCATTATCATAAATATTTGAATTAACTTGTTATATCAAACTCATTTCATCAGACTCCTTATTTTCCCACATGTACATAAGCAGCACTGTCTTCATCTCAGATTCGTCACGCCTCATAACATGTGTCATTATAGATTGTATCACCCACAGTGCAATCAGCAGTTTGGCTCTCGGCTCCCTCGTCGCCACAATTGAAGATTCAGATTTGGTGCTTGATCATTACTAATACAGATGGTCCGATACTGCTGGAACTGAATCATTCTTCTGCAGCGTCAGCAGTGTCATATCAGAGCTAGTGTTTCTGGCCTTGGGGGATGCTCTCACACTGCACAGTGTACCATTAAATGTTCAGTGTGTAAGCTTTAGTGGCATCTAGTGGTGAGGGTTGCGAATTGCAACCAATGGCTCAGTCACCGCTCACCCCTCCCTTTGCAAGCCCGTAGGTTTGAACTACAATGACCGACTCGCTCTGTCGGCTCTTGTGTTAAATAATACGTGAGGTCCTCTATTAGTCCAAATTTCACTTCTCTTCTTACTTCTGAAAAACCTTACGACTACTTCTTCTTCTTCTTCTACTTCTTCTTCTTCGTCTTCCTCTTCTTTTTCTTCTTCTTTGTACGTATTCAACGTAGTCACAAAACAAGCTCTGTAGGGCAGTTTGTCCGTTTGGGCTACTGTAGAAACATGGTGACATCCATGTAAGAGGACCCCCGGTGTATGTAGATAGAAATGTCTCATTCTAAGGTAATAAAAAGGCCTTTGTACACCACTGAAAACATAGTAAATATTCACATTGGACCTTTACTAGTGTCGGAGACGGGGGATGGAACGGGGGGTTTATAGATCCAGGCATCAGTCTACCTCCAGGTGAACAGTCGATCACCAGGCAGCAGCTGAGCTCAGCACCGTCTTGCCGCATTGGAGAAAGAAGAGGAGGAGGAAAACTGTTGTTGCTTAGCAACAGGAGGTAGTCTGGTTATCAGTTAGTCATAAAACATGTTAAAATGATCTGGCCGACATACAGCAGAGATGACTGCCTGTGCTGTTGCATAAGAAGGCCAGCCTATGATACAAGGAGTGTTTTATGTCAAATGCGTAAAAACAACAAGCCTCTCAACCCGTGTCGTTCTTCTTGGCAGCGCTGTTGTGATTGCACTATTATCATGTGTATGTGTGCTATGCGTTTGTAGGTGCCATGCATACCTTTTGTGTATGTCAACAGAGTGATATGCTACAATAGAGCACTGAGGAAAAGCACTACACGAAACAAATCTGCGCACAGCATGTTTTGGATATAGGAAAAAGGAAATCCACATAACCTGGACTAGCTGTCAAATTTCAGTAAATCTCATGTTGAGATGGTACGTTCTGTGTCCATCTGTATGTTTCTGTTTCCTGTGCACTTGCGTGTTTTCTGTTGTATTTTACTCTTTCAAAGGAGCTGGACAGAACAGCAGAAGAGAATAAAACCTGCGTGTTACTAAGTCAGAGGCCTCAAAGGACTCAAACATAACATTTACCAATATCAAGTTTTTTCAACAGACTGTTAGCTTAGCTTAAACTAAATACTGGAAACAGAGGGAAACAGCTAGCCAGGCTCTGTCTAAAGGTAACAAAATCTTTTTGTTGAATATGAATAGGGGCTTGAGGTGGTGGTGGGGGGCGGGATTCCTGGAGTCTTTGCCCAGTGTTTGTACTAAGCTAAGTGCCTGCTGGTTGTTCATATTTAGCATACAGACATGGAAGTGGAATTTATATTATTTATATTTATTTTCACGTCAAACTGAAATGTAGACAAGTAAAAGTCCTCTATTGAAAATATAACTTAAGTAAATGTAGATTAGTATTATCTCAATATGCACATAATTACTAAAAGTAAAAAAAAACTTGTGCAGCTAAATTATTGCTGTCAGTGTTATATTGTTATATGACATGCTATTAGATTATTATTACTGAAGCATTAACATGTAATAAGTAGTTGAGCTAATTTTAGCTACTTGATAAACTGCTGGTTAGTTTAATCTAATAAAATGGATCATATTTTTAGAAACATCATTTGTTATATAAGTCTTAATCTGCAACACAACTAATAGCTATAGCTTTTTAAATAAATGTAGTGTAGCAAAATATTTAACTCGGAAATGTGGTGACGTTTAAGGATAAAGTAGTATAAAATGGAAATATTTGAGCAATGTACCTGAAAGCTAAAAAAATATTGAGTAAATGTACGACTTTCCACAACTGTCTGCATTTGTAAAGGAAAATAATTAAGAAGTTTGTGTGTTTATTCCATTTATTATTTAAGAAGTTTGAACTTTGTCTCCACTATATGATATTCTGTGATAAAATTTCTACACAGGCATCTGTAGTTTTGATTCTAGCTAGAATCAAAGATGGCGCTGACCTCTGACTGAAAGCAACTCTATTCTCTGACATTAAGTTTGCTGCACTCATCGGAGAATGATTTGTTTGTGTGTGTGTGTGCTTTTTCCACCCGTCATTACAATGCATTTGATTATATTCTGCTGTTGTTGGACGTCATTTGTGCTGACTTTTCATCACATGACACTTGATAATAGTTAGACAAACACATATATAATATCAGGATTGTGCGGCGTTCAGAGTACTCTGTGTTGCTTATAGAACAAACAGCACTAATGTCATGCCTTTGCACTGCTTTGGGTTTGAGTGGGGTCGAGTGAACAGCCACTTGGCTTTTTGTGTTTTTGAGTGGTAAGTAACGAAAATGAACGTGGGCTTTGCTCCTCTGTGTGTTGTAATCTTATGTCTGGTTCTGTGTGTAACATGTAGGCTAAAGTTCATTCATTCTGTATGAGTTCTCTGTTTCTTTGAGTCTGGGAGTGTCTGATTGGCAGACTGGAGTTTGAGTTATACAAACATGTCCTAGTTGCAGCAGTAATCTCACAGGATGAGTTAGCTTAAAGGAAAACTAGGGTTCATGAAAATGTGGGTCTTGTTTAATTATGTCTTGATTATATCTGATACCAGACATCGTGTACTCACGAGTTAACTGTTGAGATCTGGAGACATGGCAACATCACTAAAAATGGGTCCAAAAGGGCAACAAAGTGGTCAGGTGATGGTGTTCAGGTGTTCGACAAATTCCCAGAATAGAATAGAATAGAATATAGTTTATTGCCATTTGCACAGGTACGTTGCAGTACAGGTACACTGAAATTATTGTGCGTCTCTCAGAGTCATCTTTAAAAAAGGTAAAAGTATATATGTAAATAAAAATATAAAATATTTAATAAGGTATATACATTTATACACATACTTATAAATACTTGTAAATACTTATTGCACATGTTAGAAGTGAGTACTTAGTACTGCACATTGTGTGTATGTGGGATCAGATAGTGGTCAGGAAGGACTGAGGTATTTTTTTCCATGTCCTGTGCAACAAGCCTGACAGTGGCTGGAAAGAAACTTTTGTGGAAGCGGGCTTTGTGAGTGCTGATACTCACAAGTCTGCGCTGTCTCAGGTTGTAGCCTGAGTCCCCCCACTTAAACAGAGCGTGAGTTGGGTCATGTTTGTCCCTGAGGACGCCCTGTGCTCTTCTCCCGCAACGCTGAGTATATATAGTGTCCATGGAGGGGAGGTCGGAGCCGATGATCCTCTGCAGTTTTGATGACCAGCTGCAGCAATTTCCTTTGAGCCAGGGTGGTGTTGATCAGGCCAAGGATAGTCGTGTCATCCATTTACTTAATGATGATGTTATTGTCCTGTTTGGAGGCACAGTCATATGTGTACAGTGAAAAGAGTTGAGACAACAGCCCTGTAGCGTTCCCTGTGCTGACTGTGAGCTCAGCAGAGACCTTCTTTCCCATCCTCACCACCTGTGGCAACTTTTTGAGCAATGTTGCTGGGCAATGTTGCTGGAGGCAAGTCCGACTATGTTTTGAACGGATAGCGGCGGTACAGGGCGGTGGTGGAGTGGTGGGGGAAGGGGATTAAGGTAGTAATCTTTAATCATTACTACTGACGGCAACGTTGCCCAGCACGATTGCTCTAAAAGTTGCTCCGTGTATCATCAGCTTACGGAAGTCCAGTATCTAGTTACAGGTGGGTGTTGGTATCCCAGGTCCGCCAGCTTGGCAGTCAGCTTAGTCGGCCTGATTGTGTTGAAGGCGGAGGTTAGTCAACCGTATTTGGATGAGAAAACTAAAGCAAACTGTAAAATATTTACCAAAAAAATCCATCGTGGTTTGCAGGCAGCCTTCTATGTTCAGCCCCAGTCTACCATACTGGACACAGTTGTGCACACTCACTGTTTAGCTGTGCAATAAGGGATTATCAGAAACTATGTTGGTTTTTCATTTATGTAAAGCTAATATATCTCAAGTGTCTGCTTGTTTACTGCCTTTAAGATTCTCTTACTCCTCGTGTTTGTTGCCCTGTTGGACATATTTTCTAGCGATGCAGCGATGTCCCCAGATCTCAACCATCACTTTTTTCATAATGTTATCATAATATTTAGTATAAATACATTCTCTGGCTAAAACTATGTATATAAAACCATTGCAATAAACTCAAGTTTCCCTTTGAGACTGATACTCAGTTTGGTCTTAAACTACTGTCAAATTGGAATAGTGATGTTGTGTTTTCAATACAGGAAGTCAAATACACATTATGCTTGTGGTTTAAGTCACTTTTGTTAGATGGACATTATAATGTTCCCTTTTCCAAAAGGGTGAATAATTTGTGTGCTAGGAACAAAACAAGGGTCCTTCAATTAGCCAGTCAGCTCACGAACATTTTGATTCCATGGCTCCGCCTCTTGATGTCTAGATCAGCCAATGAGATTGTTGATTTTTCCAGTGCCACTGAGAAATGTTTCTATAAGTGTGCGTTCATGTGCCGGAGGAAAGATTCATGTGCATTTATGTTGGAAAGATCAAACCCGTACACACATTCTTGCTTTTTAGAAGTTATGAAGGTTTGTTTGGTAAAATCAACAGAAGTTACAAAGGTGTTTATTTACTCCTGACAAAAGCTTTACTGTTATAACCTGGAAATATCTCCTCAACTCCATTGTCCTACTTTAAATCAGTTAATGTGAGGAGGAAGTTCATTTTTAAGATATTTCCGGCAGCACATGAAGGCAATGTAAAACTCCACTCTGCATCAGACGGAGGCAGATTGTGTTCAGTGTGTGAGTATCCATGTATGCAGTAGATATGAGGGGGTTTTATGTGTGTAAGTATGGACTGGACCTTAACGTGTGTGCATGTGTGGTGAGCAGCTGTGTTGTCTAACAGTCACCTGACACTGACGGCGCCCTCTTGTATCAGCCCGCAGCCTGCGCCTGAGCCCATGGGAGAGCCGGATCGTGGAGCGGCTCATGACGCCGACATTGTCCTTCTTGGCCCGCAGTCGCAGCGCCGCCACTCTCCTCAACAACAGCGACTCTCGTGAGTGTGAGACCCCATCTTTCTGCTCACTGTGTACCCACAATCCTCTTTTCTGGTCACCTTTAGGTCCCTTTTTGTGATGTTTTATGAGAGTAAATTAGTTTGTTTGACTCATAAAGTTCAGTAATAACATACTGTTCTAGCTTTGTTTCTAGCTTCATCTTTTCCCCTCTCTGTCCTGCATGTTCTATGTTTAAATCTGTGCTTTTATATTAAACTCTGTGGTGTTATTTGGTTTGATTGAAATAAAGATTTTCATTCTTGACTTTGTAAACAGCACTTGCACACAAGTCTCACACACAAGGTCCATGTAGTAGCTGTTTTAGAGCTCAGGATCACATCACATGACCTTAATCAGCATATGGAGTTTTCCCCAGTTATCATGAAATTGTAGATGTCAAAAATTTCCATTTTTTTCTGAGCATAGTGTCCTCAAAATGTTCAGAAAAATATAAATACACTTTGTAGTAAGATTGTTTTCTCAATGACTGTCATAACTTGTCAGTTAATTGTTTGAGTAAAAAAAAGAGCATGTAAATTTAAATGCTCTGTATTTGTATAGCACCTTTCTAGTCTTCTGATCACTCGAAGTGCTTTTACACTACATCGCATTCACAATTCACACACATTCATACACTGAGCCTAAGTGCTCAAACAGAAACTAACATTCACACACATTCATACACCAATCGAATAGCCATCAGCATGGAAAAATGCTCACCCCGATTTCCCAGACCCTCCAAATCCATCTCCAAATTGCTAGAATGTTCCACCAACAATTCATCCCCCCCTCAAAAAATTAATAACAATAAAAAAAAGATGCTTGTGAGTGAAATCAGTAAGATCAAATAACATTTGAATAGTAAAATATGTTACCTTTTCCTCAGCTATCATTACTTTATGTTCACAGTTCATCTGCATGGTGTGTGTGTATGTGTGGGCCCTGACCTCGGCCCTGCTGCCGCTCTCTGCATGTTTATGTGTTACTCAGACTCTCACCACTGCTCCCGTTCAGCCTCTGCCAGCCCGCTGACTGCCTGCTCCCATCACCACCCGCACCAGAACTCTGCTGAGCGCTGGAGGGTCTCCTCCGCCAGCACGCCGGACATCACCCAGCGCCAGCGCCGACGGAACTCCACACCGGTAGGCACACATGATGACTCTCATATACATGTACAAGTGAACAAACCTGCTGTATATGCACTCATTTTGCCTTTCGTATTAGCTTTGCTGCCTTAAAACTGCATTCTTTCTTATGGCCAGCAGGTAACGACTCCATTGGTTGAAAAAAGAAGTCAGATTGCATTGGAGTATATGACAAAATGACCCTACATCTTACTTGAATTATTACCTCAGTAAACACTTTCCTAAAGAGTTTATTAACTCGATCGCTAGTTTCAAGTCTTATTCAGTACAGCATGATGTTCATTTTGTAAATGATGGTCCTATTTAGAGTAAAATACACAATAAAGGAGGCTATGTTTTTGGGTGTTTTTTTGCGATGAAATTGTGGGCATAAGTGAAAACTGTAAAACAATGTGATAGTTTTAACTTTAGAATTATAGTTGAATCATAAAGCAGTCCCTCCAGGATTATGCGGGTCTATCCCTATCTATAACCCTGCATATTTAAACCAGCTTACCTTGATATTTTCACAGTGTCACAGTGATTCGACTCGTCTGCCGACTTGTTTCTGCCACTCTCTGCGTATGTTTTGTGGTGTCAAAGTGTTTGTCAATAGACAGTTTGCTTTTATGTTCAACCACAATACTGCACGTTTTACCAACAGTTTACCCCCCGCTTTGGTAAAGATGATCTGGATACTGTTTTTCACGGCCCTTTGCTGTTATTTTTGTCGGCAAATGTGAGACCTTGGTATCACACACGTTTTGTAAACAAGAAAGTGAGCTAATAAAATTTGCAGAAAAGTTGCGATGATTGGTCAAAATTGCAAGTCGTGCTGAATTCACAGGGATTTCTTGAATTTGTGTTAATAGTTGTTATTGCGACATTGCAAAATCCTGGAGGGACTGAATAAGGCAACTGCTGCAATAACAAGTAATCCTACTTTAGATGTTAATATATCTTGTTGCGCCGCCCCCAAGTGGTCAACAAATTCAATAAATGCAGATTAAAATTTTCATAAACATTTTCTTAAAGAACTATAACTTCACAATTCCAGTCATTCCTGGTCTAAAGTTTTTAGTTTTTTTTATAATGTAGTGTGGGAACACTGTCAGATGATGATACTGACGCTTAGCAAAAGGCTTTTATCTGGAATATAAGGTGTTAAGCAGATGTATCCGGCTTAGCACGTGATCATAACTGGTAATTGGTGTCACATCTTTCTTCAAGGTGGATAAAAAGAAAAAAGAGAAGAGGGACAAGGAGAGGGAGAATGAAAAAGAGAAGAACGCTCTCACAAAAGTGCAGAAGAAAAGACAGACTACATCACCCACCTCTACAACCCAGAGATCCAGGCCAGAGACCAGGTAATGTCTCATTACTGTCACACAAACTTTCTTGTACCAGTTCTGTACACTATATATCCCGTCTTGGTTTTTTTTATTAAAATTTTTTTTAACTAGAAAAAAAATGAAATTAATTCTATTAATTTCTAATTTCTATTCATTTCTAATATTGAGGAGTTATTTAATGTGGGAGAGAGAGCGAGAGAGAGCGAGAGAGAGCGAGAGAGCTAATGTGTCCCCGTGCTTTACTCCTGGAGCAGGTTAATGTCTGACAGATGGTCCAAGGTGCTATAATCTAACTACTAAAAGATACTCCGCTGGACTCTGTTCAGTAAGCAGCCAAGGTCCAGTCTGCCAACAGCAGGTCTGTTTGTGTGAGGAGAGACAGAATGGGGTTTTCCTGACTGATGCACAGGCGGGAAAAAACTGTCTCCCTGCCTTGTTCTCATGTTACACCCCCCACAGCCAAAGAGTCATGGTCACCGAATGTGGGGTTTCAGATGACCTAGTTATGGGCTTTATGTAGTTCACTGGGAACCTAATTACCTTTTCCTGCTTGAATATAACATCTGCTATGCCACCAACTCACTCTCTCTTCTTGTTGACTCATATTTCATCTCCTCTCTACCCATCAGCACCCCCCCGAAGCCCAGAAACAGACCTCCATCGCCTGCTGCCCCCAAAAGTCGGCCCTTGTCCCCACTGGTGCCAGCAGCAGCCTCCAAGACCCCCGTGGGCAAGAAGACGCCTCCTCCTGGCACCAAGACCCGACCCAAACGAGCCCAGACGCCCGCCAGGGTACAGCCCCAGACGGTCACTGCGGTTGCCGTGGAAACAGGCCACGAACCCCAGCAGCCCGACACTCCAGAGGAGAAAAAGAGTGAGTGTGGTTAACATGGAGACGATATCCGAGCCTCAAGGTGACCTAGAGGTTTTGGCTGACGTTCGTGTTGCAATGTAAAAACAGCATGAACACACGTGGTTTCTGCAGAGTGTGTGTACTGTATGTCTGTGCTGACTGGCCTTTACTCATCCCCATCCTGCAAGCTGTCAAGCCACAATTACACTATTTACATTTTGTTCAAGCAGCACCAGACACACGCACAGAAACCTCCGTGCATACAGTATGTGCACATCAAACCCGACCAGTCACACCAGATAACCCGGGGGGGGGCCGCTGCGCCCATCACCTTATTTTTAATGAGTCTGGGTTGGAGCTCTGCATTTTTAATTACAATACTGGACATCAGCGCGATGTGACAGAGATCATTCGGGCAAAACCAGAAGCATTATATTACATTATTTGTAGATCATGTTTATGTCACAATATGAAGATTAAGCTGACAACTATTTCTATTGTGAGCAATTACGCTTTCATGTAAAAGTCAAATCTAACTGAATAACAAAAATAGAAATAAAAAATACAAGCACATTTTAAATTCCACTTTCATTTTAGTTCTGCCACTGTGGTGGTATTTAACTGCAGATGGTTATTGTGATGCCAAATAAAATCATGTACTGGCACAGACAACATGGTGACCGTAGGTTCCTCAACATGTCGATAAAAGTGAGTTTAACCTAAAAGAGTCATCATTTGACATTAAGTTTCCTGATTTAAACTCTGTGATTGCGTCATGACCAGGAGAGCACAAATGTGATTAACCACGATTGTCACAGCCTCTGACACATCCACCTAATAATGATAATGATAATCGAAACTGAATCTAAGTGCGCCCGGCGAACCTGGCCACTAAATTACCAAAAGTGTGTTAAAAATAGAGCCCTTTATGTCTGTTTTGGGTAAATCAGCTTTACACCTAATTGAAAATTGTTAATTTATAAAAAATGAGAATTCAATAATGAATCTGTTGGTAAACCAGGCGTTGGCTTCTATATTACTGTTGTCAAAGAAACATGAGCTTCACCTGTCGTCTCTTCTTCTTCTCTTCTCTCTGATAGACTCTAGTGATGTTCCTGCCATCGTGGTGTCCTCTGCACCTCTTACACCTCCTTCCCTGAGCACACCGGTTGTATCTGCAGCCTCTCCAGCGGTGCCAAACATAGTGCCCACTGCCTCAGCTGCTTCTCCTGCCTGCACCGGTAGTCCCGCTCCTTCTCCTGCTGCAGCCTCCACCACTAATCCTGCTCCTGCTGCTGCCCCCGCCGCCGCTGCAGTCTCCAACCTGTCTGCACCGGCCAGCAAGCCATCAGCCGGCACCAACAACCCAGAGGAGGCTGCTCGTGTCCTGGCAGAGAAACGCAGACAAGCCCGAGAGCAGCGGGAGAGAGAGGAGCAGGAGCGTCTGGAGCAGGAGCACAAGAACAGGTCAGACTTAATGTCAATATGAGTACCAGTCTGTTGCTGATGCTATATCAACACCTTCTCATTCATCATATAATGTCGACTAAAATTTCTAAACAGTATGTGGTAGTTTACAGGGTTGTCAACAATGTATGAAATAAATATGATATTTACTGCCAAGAGACAACATTAAAAACACCTTACAATATGATGCAATCCAATACAACAGTCCTGCAATAAGAAACACCTTCTAAACTTACATTGTATTGCATCACATTTTAAGGTTATTTTATTCCTCATCAGTTACCTTGCTGCAATATTTTTTTGACCAGAGATAGACAGTTTGGCAACACTTTATTTTACGGGTTCGTGGAAGTTACCTGGAAAGAGCTGTGAAATTTCACGTTTACCCCACAAACTGCTGAGTTTCTTCAAATATATAAACACCTGGTCCATCTTTTTAGGATCCTTCGTGAGGAGGCGATGGCTCGGGACGCAGAGGAGAGGAAGCGCAGGGAGGAGGAGGCTCGATTTATGGCTGAGCAGCAGCGCCTGAGGGACGAAGCCCAGCGGGCCGAAGAGGAGAGGGAGGCGCAGGGGAGGGCCAAAGCTGAGCAGGAGGAGAACGAGAGGCTGCAGAGACAGGTCAGTGACAGGGAAGATGTAAACTGAAAGTGTATTATTGATCTTGGAAACAGACATTGTTTTATATTGTTCCAACCAGGAACACTTATTCTGCAAGACACCTTAGTTTTTCTTTCAATTTAACTGAATCCAACTTACTTGTGAATGAAACCAGTGTACTCACAAGCCTCTAACCCTTAATTACTAATTTTATGAAGGGAGCGACTGCTTATTGGAGGATCCTACTGTTTTAAAAAAAAGTCTATCTCTGTAGTGATCCTTTAAATAATGTTAATCTTTACTTAGAATAACAATCTGATGCTACCAGTGGCAAAGCAAGCACTTTTAGTGGATGTACCGTACTTTGACAAGGCGCAATTGCCTGGAAGGATTACGTTGCAGCCAACTGCAGCACAGTCGCTCAATAATGGACCAATTTCAAAAAATGTCAGACAAAAAAACGTAAATATGTTCCCATGCCCATACATTCTGCAACAGTAGCCTAGTCCACCTATAATACACTATTTTAAATTTAAACACAAGTCAAATTAATGATCATGATCCTCTAAAACTGCTGGATGTGTAAATAAGCAGCTGTTTGCTAACATATTAACTTAAAAGGAGATACTTTGTTAATGTTGGGTTTAAATAAATGCTTTTACTGTCATTTATCACAGTAGGATTGTGAATAACATAATTCCTCTATTATATGTAATTTGGACCAGTGTTATCTTCAAACCCTGCAAATGTTTGGCTCTCACTCTGCTACCAGGCCCAACACTTCATCAGCAAAACACATGATCATTTTTTGTGAACTGTAAATACTGTCTGAACTGAAAACCCTCTAATTTTCCATTAACCAGCATGAATCCCCCACATGCAGTAAACCCACTTACCATCTGGGAAGATTAATACATTAGAAGATGCCTGAGCTGTCCAGGGGGTAATACTGTATGTGAGCCCAAACATCAGGCCCCGGGCTGACTCGCTCACCCCCTAACTGTCTGGCATCTGGGCAGATTAAAGGAGGAGAATATGTGCTGCTGTCACGGACGATGTGTGTCATGCCCACTAGTCAGAGGCCCAGGCAGATGCCAGCTGGTGACCTCCATAATGGTGATGAGCTGAGGCTGAGGCAGCCATTGTGATATAGACAGGGCTGTGTTGCTTCTGTCTCATACACTTGGCTCTACAGTGGGCTGATAGTCGGATAAGCGGCGTCAGTGTACGCCATGCCTGAAGCTATCAGCTTTGCTCGACTCCCCTTTTCCCTTCAATTGGACTATTGTTTCACCCTGACAGCACACTCTCTCTAGGCTAGAGTGGCCTCAGATTTTTCAGAGCTCAGTGTAGCTCACGCGTTGTGCTCTCTATGTAATGGAAAATGTGTGCAACTATTTAAGATTTGTGTCAATAAAATCAAAGCTAATCGTCAGTGCATTGTGGTTAAATGTGTGAAACAGCAAAAACAGCAGGTTACAACACTTGACAGATGTGATTTATGCACACATCATAATTTATGATTTTATTGCTGACTTTAAAACATCTGTTTGGCTGGTGCTGACTCATATACTGATACCCAGTGAAGCATGTCATGAAGTTACTCAGATAATATCAACTCTGGCCTGAAGGCTGCAGAACAGACTGAGCACATGCTGCCACCTGGTGGTCAAGAGTTGTTTTCCTATACAAAAATGTGACTAGGGAACATTTGCACCCTTGAGTATGTTATTTGCATATTCGGCTATGATTGGACAAATGAGAAGTTGTCCATTGATTAAAATTTTTTCTCTCTGGGAAGCATCTGAGGTGTTGGCTAGTGTGTTAAAGAACATTTGCAATTGAAAATGACTGACATTTGGCTTTTTGTCTTTTAGCTACATGTGTGAATAGAGGGTTATTGGACTTTTCTATTAACTGAAGTCAAAACCTGATTATTTGTTTTTGTCTGAAAGTGTTGCTTTTGTCAGCTTCATATTAATCTATTCTTTTTCCAGAGGGAGGAGGCTGAAGCTAAAGCCAGAGAGGAGGCTGACCGTCAGCGCCTGGAGAGGGAGAAACACTTCCAGAAAGAAGAGCAGGAGCGGCTGGAGAGGAAGAAGGTGAGGAGAAAGGAAAACAACATTTTCCTGAGTTCAAACAGTCACTCTGAAGTTCATACCGGTACTTCCTCCCCTTAAAAAACACCAGCAGCTAACTAAATGATCTCTCTGTTTGATCTACACAGCGCCTTGAGGAGATCATGAAGAGGACTCGGAAAAGTGATGCAGGAGATAAGGTCTGTGTGATTCCTTTCAAACAGGCTAGAAGAAAAATAATATTCCTCTTGTCTTTGTTAAATTGTGTGCCTTTTAAGTTAAACTTACACTGCACTGTAACTTTTACTGTCCTGTTTTCTTTTTCTTTGTTTTTAGCTTTTTATCATTGCTTTTAATTAAATATTTCCATTTAACTCTTTTAGCCCTGATTGTAACACTGTAACTTTTATTATATTTTATGTTGCTTTTAAACTTTTTTATATTTCCCTGTTGCTTTTATGTTTTATGTAAAGCACTTTGAATTACCTTGTTGTTAAAATGTGCTATACAAATAAACTTGCCTTGCCTTGCCTTAAATGTCTTTTTGTACTTTATAATCACAGAAGGATGTCAAAGCCTCACCACAAGTTAACGGCAAGGACACAGAGCTCAGCAAGGGTAACTATGTTTTAAACATTCTAGCTTCTATGCCATATGTACAGTCTGAAAAAAATCTATTAATCTCATTTATGTATTCATTTATATTATATTTCAGCAGCGGGAATTCTGCAGAGTCCCGGTGTGCCGGTCCTTAGCCCGTCACAAGGAGTGTCAGGTCCTGTTGTAAATGGTGTCCAGCCCTCTGCTCACCAGAACGGCATCTCAGCCAACGGAGAGGCAGCCGACTTCGAGGAGATCATCAAGCTGAACAAGGGCGGTAACCCGGCGCAGACTCAGAGCGGGCTGGTCAGTGAGCCAATCCTGGCGTTCGAGGGTGGAGAGCCCTTCCTCATGAAAACAGGCCCTATGAAGCCTCAGCATGTCGCAGGTACAGGAAAGAGACACCAGATCAGACTGTGATAATACAGCAGAGTCTTGAGTTACATTCAGTAAACAGTGTACTAGTCTTATTTTGTGTTTAGATTTAAATCTTGGGACTTTTGGACATAAAGAAGCACAAATTTGTCTGAAATCAATTAATCTTGAGGCAGTTAAAGCCCTCTTTCTCATGCAAAGACCCCCCTCATTCAATCTTAAGGTCTAGTCCTACATCAGTGTAACTAACTTTTTTTTGCTTGGGATTCCTTTGAATAAATGTTTATCTCTGTGTGACCCCTAATCCCAGTTTATGGCCTTAGTTTGCACACGAGTAGTAAGCAGTATATTTGAGGTAAGCGTATTCAGTATAAAAAGGGCAGAAGTTACGTAAAAGTCTGAAGTATTAACATAATATTGTGTTAAAAAAATCTTATATCTTATTTTATTAATTGAATCGTCTTGTGTCTCCTCATATTTATCTTAGGAACCACTTTGACGGTCCTGACCCCAAAGTTGGGAATCGCTGTCATAGATCAAATGAGTCAAACATGTCAGCCGTTCATGAAAGTTGCCGCGTTAGTTTAGCCAGTTGGAAACAAGAAAGTCATCCCTCTGAATTGATCAGAACTGGGCTTCTTTATTATGGCATTTAAAGTCTAATTTAAAGCTAAAGTTTCCTCCAATTGTAGAATCCTTAAAATGCAACGCTAGAGTTTAATTGTGAGTTTGACAAATTAAATTTTTATCTTTTTGTTATGACGCCCCGTCAGTCTATGTCATGTTCCTGTAAGTTAAAGTGCAAATTTCAAGTCATTTGGATGTAGAAGTTAGGCCATTAGAAATAATGTAAACCACTTTTCCACGATGGCAAGACATTTTTTCTGTATGAAATGCATAATAAAATAAAAAAAGAAACATTTCACCTTCATCTCACTATTTTTGGTTCTTCTTTCCCTGCAGAGGTCCTGTGAGTCCCCACACATCCATGGAGACGCGCCTTATGTCTCTGCTTGAGCTATGAGATTCATGCCACGCCGCAGCGGCTTATAAAAATAGTGTGCCAAACAAACAGTGAACTGCGCTGAATTCCCATCAACAGTATCTCCTGCAGAGGATAAAAGAGGAGGAGAAAAACTCTTCCTGGAACAAAAACAAACTCTCATCTGAAATATAAAAAAACAACCAGTATTCTCTGTCTTCATCGCGTGTTATGATGCAGCATTTGTCAAGTTTTATTGAAATGTCACAGATTTTATGGTGCACCTTAAAGATGACTGTGTAACAAACTTTAGAAAATACAGTGTAAAACCCTGGAAATACATAATATTTGACAATGGTTGTTATTATTACCATCATCACGATATTGTTATTGTTATCTTAAGTTGAACAGTGTGTGTGTGCGAGTGTTTGTTGTTTTTTGTCTTGAATTATGGAGTTATTTAACATGGGGAGCATTGTAAGGACTGGCCACAGACAGTGTATGTAAATGTATAATGAGCCTGGCTGCCTAGGCCTCCTGTTACAGGGGATCTGTGAAATAAAGCTTTATGAAAGGGACTCGGCTCTATGTGTGTGTGTCTACATCCATTCAGGTTACTTTATTCATACTCATAGGTAGATTTGTTTTGCAGTAGACAAGTCATCCTCACATTATAGAAACAACACAGACATTAAACAGTAGATAAACATAATAAAAGTACATTAAAAGTACTCAAGGTTCTGATAATCACTAAATAAATAAATGTTGCTTTTATATCATCTGTGTAACTTGTCATGTTGAGACATTTGAAAATATTAGATATCGACTGCACCTACAGAGATCTGGTAGCAACTAATGCTATAAATTAATGCTAAAGCTGCACAACTATAGTATATTAGCATGCTGTACAAACACTACAAGGAAATTACACAGTGGTGGAAAGTAACTATATACATTTACTTAAGTTTGGTATGTATTTTTCAGGTACTTGCACTTACTTGAGTTTTTTCCATTTTCTGCTACTTTCTACTTCTACTCCACAACATTTACCTGACAGCTTTAGTTAATAATTACTACTTGACTCAGATCTAAACTTTGATCCACAGATCAAAAAAGTTGTCCAGTCCTGCTTCCTGCAAAGAAGAACCATTTCCAGAATTAAACCCATGCTCTCACACTCGGAAAAAAGCAATGCATATACTTATCTTCTCTCCAGTACTTTAACTCCCTCCTTTCTGCCATGAACCAAGAGTCACTCTCTTGCCACCAACTAATTCAGAATGCAGCAGCTAGGCTACTTACTGAATTTAACAGACGACATCACATTACCACAATTAATGATGTCGTTTCTATTCATTTTATCTGCTTTTATGTGTGTTTATTCATATCACCTTTTCAATGGGTGTCTTATCTTATTCTTTTTACTTTACCCTAATCTTGTTTTGCTTTTTTTGGGCGTCTCATTATACTACCTTCTGAATATCCAGCTTTTCCTCTGCCTGTCAAAGCACTTTGTAAGCTATGTTTTTAAAGGTGCTATACAAAGTTATTATCACTTTTCAGATTAACATTTTACAGAAAACACATGAGAATTTTATAAAATACAACACACTGTTGAACCCGAGGTTCCCAACTGTTTTGGCCTGTGACCTCTTATTAAAAAACAGAATGGTTGTGGCTCCTTGTTGTATTTCAGAAGTCTATGAGTTTTATGTTAGCAGTTTCTTGAAACAGACATTTTCCCTCTAGACTTCAATATTGCACAAAAAGCAAAGAAAAGTCACAAAAGTTAATACAGTGTTTTGTAGCAACGCTTTCCTCCCCCATTAATCATCTCACGACACCTCAGATTTATCTTATGACCCATCAGAAGGGCCCAACCCCTAATTTGGGAACCACTGTCTTTTACTACCATGAGAAATACTTTTACTTTTGGTACTTTAAGTACATTTAGCTAATGATGCTTTTGAACTTTTACTCAAGCATGATGTATTATGTTATGTATTACATGTAGAACTGTAATACAGTACTTTTATGTTGTTGTGTTGGTAGTTTTACTTAAGTAAACAATCTGCTTTCTTTTTCCACTGCTGTATAAATGCAGGTCCAGAGCTCACAGTCCTTCAGCTGGATTACAGAGTAAGGTCTTCAGAGAGACCAGACGGTGGCAGCACAGACTCTGAAGCACAAAGAGCCAGTGATGAACATTTCAATGAACTGTGGATGCTTTGCACTTTTTCTGCATTTACAACCACTGTGGTGCATCTGTTGAATTTTAAGGCGTTTTGACATAGGTAATGCACATTTTCTTTACCCACATACACATGCTTTTTTTTTAACCAAATGTAGCTTAATCCATAATAATAACTCAGGATTTATTGGTTGATTTATATTTAATAACAATAATCTGCAAAGTAACTAGTAACTAATGTTCTCAAATTATTGTAGTGATGTGAGATAAAATGGAAATACTCAAGTAAAGAACAAGTACCTGAAAATTGTTCTAAAGTACAGTACTTGATAAATGTACTGTGTTACATTCTGCCTCTGTGAAACCAACTACATTTACTTTCTTTTAAAGATTATTTTTCGACAGTTTAGTGTCTGGGAGACAGGGTTTTTTGTATGAAAGAATAAAGATTTTCACACGGTCTCTCAGTTTTCAGTAACAGCCTGTTTGTTTGGCTGTGGCTTTTGGTTACACAGAGAAGAGAACTAACCCCAGACAGCTATGATGTGTAGTCCAGCCAAAAGATCAAAGGTACGTGCATGAGATTTGCTCCACTTGCTATGATGCACGTTAGCAATCAAATATTAGAAGCCTTGTGGTCACCCTTGTTTTCCCTTCCACTCTAGGTAACTTTGTCCTCAAACAGACTCTCATTGCTGCAGCGACCGGTCACAGTGCATCTGTCACAGGGTCGCTAGCATATCAAATGTCTAACAAAATACACTGGACCTTGTTTTACTGTGACCACACTGCCATTTGGCACAGAGATACGATTCTGGACAGAAACCCCGGGGGCAGGACATGTTGTTTGTATCTGTTTGCCTTGGTTTGGATGGTGACTTTGTAATTAGAGATCTTACTCACTATACAAAGAGTCCCTGCTGCAGTCCATGGTGTAATAAATTTCTCTCTCTACACTGCAAATCGTAGTTCTGTTGTTTGCCTGATTTGGGATGTTTACATGGTAACGTTACCTGCATGAGACAGGTGCAACACAGAAATGATTTCTTTACTTATTTATAGCAGTGTCTGTCTGTCAGTCCACCATTTTAGTCTAGACTGAAATAATTGGATTGAATACTATTACATTTTGTTGGGGGTTTTCGTGTTCTCCAGAGGCTGAATGCTATTATGTTTAGTAATCTTCTGACTTTTCCTCTTGTCCACCATGAGGTTGACATTTTTGCTTTGATGATCCTGCTGACTTTTGTGATCCATCCCCTGACTTATTATCTTGCTTTTTAGTTAAATGTTTCAACAACTATTAGATGGAATGTGATGAAATCTGGTACAGATATGTCCCTCACAGGATGAATTGTAATAACTTTGGTATTCCCTCAACTTCTAGCATCACAATCAGGTCAAAATTGAATATGTCAAATTATTCGGTTCAGGACAAAACCATAATAGGATAATAATGACATTCCCATCAGCCCCAGCTGTTCTCTGTGTGCTAATTAGCAACTGTTAACATAGTAACATGCTAAACTAAGATGATGAACATAGTAAACATTACACCTGCTAAACATAAGTATGTTAGCATTTAGCTCAAAGCAATGCTGTGCCTAAGTACAGCCTCACAGAGCTGTTGGCATGGCTGTAGACTCTTGATCTTGCTAAAACTCAGTATTATAAAAGTTTAGTAGCATCTTTCTCTTGTTTTTCTAATGCTTGCACTTAGTATTCTTACAAGATCATTCAAACAGAAGGAGGCCCAGAACATTATATGATTCTGTTGCAAAACACTTTTGGTTTTCATGTTCATGGAGGAATGTTTTTTGCATAGCCACTTCATGATTGCAATATGAAAAGTATTATGGTTTGTCCATGTGCAACACCGTGGAGTCATATATACCCAGGCCTTTACCTTTTTCCAGCTTGCGGAACTGGAAAGGAACAGGATATACATTTCAAAACATATGTCATATGGTTGAGTGATTCAACCTGCCCATCCTTCGCATGACAAATGAAAGGAGACCATTGATCAGTAAATGACGTTGAACATTTGAACGCTTCCAGAGAGTGAACTATTTATAATTCAGATGTGATATTACCAAGTGGCTGTCAGACAGTTGGTTGCAAGAGGCCGTGCTTGATCTTAACATCTTTTCACTGAGATTTCTTTCTTTAAACGAGGAAGGAGAGCCGTCTTGTTCATCTCTGTTTCACGGCACTTTCACCTTCCCCTGCAAGGTGAGCCTTTTCTTTTCTCTCTCTCACACCTTTGCATGTTTTGTGCTGCTGTGTTTTTGTGCCTTGACAAGAAAGTCGACATTGTAATTTGAGTTTTTGGTTTCAGTGTCTTACTTTCTTTTCTTTGCTGAACTCAATGGAGAAAAAAAGTTAAGATAAAAGAGATATGTAAATTGAACCTGACATGAAAAGCATTACACTCCTTCACAGTCTGTATAGCTTTTTTTATTAGTGCAAGATTCAATGGTTTCTAAGTAAGATCAATGTATTTTACTTTTGATAAATTTTTGCTTCAAAGACAGGAAAAAGTTAGTTGTACTACAGAGAAAGACTAAAACGTTTAGGGAGAAACAGTAAAACACAGAAGAACTGAACAATAAGGTTCTTGTGATGAGAAAACATTTAAAATTAAAGCTGCAAGCAGCGTTGGGTGGGCCCTCGCAAGTGTAGCGCGTCGAGGTGTGAGGCGGCCGTGTTGCAGATTCTGGAGCTCTGCCAGTGTGGCTGTGAATTTCCAACGCACTTCGGACGCTAAACAAACGTGTTAATCATCACATGCTGTGTCCCCTTTCTGGCGCTACATAGCACTTCGCACTACAACTATAAATGGACATGTAGATGTGTTCCGTGCACCTAAAGTTTGGTGCATGTGTTCAGGTCGGGACTCTTATTAAAGGTGTAAAAGTTGATACAGATCTGAGCTTGTACAGTCAAGTTACAACAACTTCCTGTGTCATGGCGAAGCGTGGAACTTCACCGCCATGCCACCGCCACGCCATTTACCGAAAACTCACAAGTTTTACATCATGGCCTCATCAATGTGTTAAGGGTTTTCTGGGACAGTTTTGAAGTTGATACGTCCAACCTGCTAGGAGTAGTACATTACAGCGTAAAATGTGTCATTTCCTGCTGCCAGCAGGTGGCGCTATGACTTCGAGTGAATTTTGACATATGGATGTGTTCAGAGCATAGACTGTATATAAAAAGAGCAGGACTATTGTTATACTAAATTTGGTGCAGATGTGATTACGTGTACTGAACAACTTCCTGTTTCATGGCTAATCACCATTTTTCGATGACACGCCACGTGCAACCTGGTCGACTTGTAATAACCGTTTGAATAACTTTTAATTGTCAATGGGTTTAGAGTGCACATCGAAAATTTGAAGTTGATTGGACTAAATCCCTAGGAGTTTCTTAAAGTACAAAGTGTGTAAATCACCAAAAATTACCATTAAATCCAAAATGGCCGACTTCCTGTTTGTCTGGAGGCTGCTCTGTAGGGGGCGCTTATTAGATAATTAATAATAGATTATTATTAAGTTTGGTGAGTTTTCGAGTATGTTTAGGCCCCCAAAATTGAGGTTACTTAAACTAAAAAAGAAGAAAAAAAACAAATCAATAGGGACCTCGCATGGTTCGTGCTCGGGCCTTAATAATACATAAAAATGCCCTTGCACTAACTAAAGGATGAAATTTTGGAACATTTTTTTGCCTGCTGCTTGTGTTGTACTTTGACACAAATGCTCCGCAGGTTTCATGTTGCAGAATCTGAACACGCTACAATCCCTTTAATCTCACTGACTTTATTTCAGTTCAGTCTCATGACCTCACTGGTCAACATTGTCCTCTGCCCCTTGGAATTCAAACCTCCAGTGAGACTATAAACAGCTTGTAACAGTGAGTGACAGACAAGGAGCCATGTGTGCTCCCACAATGTGGCCAAATGAGAGATTTGTCTGGGTTAATTTTAACTTTGGCACATCGAAGTGCCCAACACCTGTGCTGCAAAGGAAATGAGAGTGAATAGGAACTGTTTGCATACCTTTGTCAAAGGTCAACAAGGAGTGATTTGATCACCGTGTGTCATGTGGAGTTGTGAAATTTCAAACCAGGTCTTTGTGCAGGCTGTGGACTGGATGTCATGTTATTATCATGCAGAATAAGGGACAGAAATTTGGGTTTAAGACTCAAGAAAATAGATGAACTCTAACGACAGCCTTCGGGGCTGTGTGACACACTTTTTTCCATACGTTTTTCGACGGATGACTTGTAAAGCTCGGCCCTCCTTGGCAACACATGCGTCAAAAATGTACAAAATGTCTTCCTTTCCTTCTTTTAGGATAAAATTGTTGAACTTCACGTTACTCACTTTGCCATTTACAGAGGTGCAGAGTAAGACCACATTGAAAATATTTCACCATTCTCTCAAATAACGAACAAAGACAGTACAAAAAGGTGGAGAAGAAAATTATTAAAAAGAAGGAGAAACACAAAGAACATACAAGTCACGCAATATATGAGAAATCACAAAACAAAATGCTGTTAAATATTCAACTATTCTCGCTCTGTAAAAATAGTTGTATTTTGTCACTTATGCAAACATTAATTCCTGATATTGAATACTGCAATCACAAATACACAGTACTGGTACTCACGTATGCCATTATTACACATTTTGCCTTAAGGCAGTGGATATGAGCTATTACTTCAGTACATTATACTTGTACTACATCTTGTTATTAGTCCCTTTGTTGACTCATTTTGTGCACCGACATATTGTTTGGCACAGATGACTGAATGTCTATACACAAGGGAGATTGGCAGTTGGATAAAGGCATACTGTCAGAAACACAAAATATTACTGCAACAAATACACTTTTAGACGAAGAAATAGATGTTGTACATGGTAATGGCTTATCTTTGTTAATGTCTTGTATGTTTGTTTTAACCCTATTGCAAATCAAATTTCCCCTGGTGGGACAATAAAGATTGAATTGAATTGCACTCCAGTCTAGCTGTTGAGGATTGCTTTCCTCCTCATTATGTGGGATTTAAAAGTTCCTTGAGGTTTGTGCTCTTGTTTACCTAACAACAAAAATAATACACATTCTTTAACTTTGAATAGACACTGACATACCATTCATCCATAGAAGGCAAGAGGGGAATACCATGAACCAGAGATTCTTACAATAGAATGAAAGAAGTCTTTGTGACAGATCTATCATTCATTTACTACTGAGTCTCACATCTATATAATATAATATATATAACTTTAGCCAAGACCAAGTGGGGCCCTGAGTGGTGTTCAGGATAGAATCTGTGTCTGTGATAGGAGGCGTTATGAGGCTTTGAGTCTGATAAAAATAGTGCACAGCACTACAAACGGACCTCAAGCTGAAAGACAGCTGTGTATTTGGGTAGAGGGCGAACATCTTCCACCACAGAATTAAATGTAAATGCTCTGTATTTGTATAGCGCCTTTCTAGTCTTTTCGACCACTCAAAGTGCTTTTACACTACATCTGCATTCACCATTCATTCACATTCATTCACTGAGCTCAAACAGAAACTAACATTTACACACATTCAAACACTGGCGGAACAGCCATCAGGGGCAAATTCGGGGTTCAGTATCTTGACCAAGGACACTTCAACACGCAGCCTGGAGGAGCTGGCCGACCTTCCGATTGACGGGCACCCCGCTCTACCTCCTGAGCCACAGCCGCCCCAGTTAACCAAAAAAAGCTGTAAAATATTAAGAGATTGTAAATAGTTGCTGGCGAAAGGTTTTTTGTTTCAATGATTTAATTAGGCCACTACACCAGGGCCACATTTTTTGATTTATTTATTTACCTTTCTGTCAATTATTTTCCCAATTAAATTCAGTGTTATTTATATAGTAATTGTAAATACCAGAAGTTATGTCATTGCACTGTTATAAGCATATAAAGCACTATTATCCAATGAGGGTTAAATGCAGGGTTTTTCGCCTCTCATCCAAGAGGATTCTTCAGTTGTAACAGTGCTTATGGTTGTTAAAGTCACCATAACGACTGCCGTTACAACAGCCATAAGCACTATCTAATGTGGTGTCCATCACCTTTATAACAACCCTAAAGAGGTTAAATACCTGGGACTCCCAGTCAGTTAGAATTGAAGAAGACTCTTCAGCCAAATCCAGTTGACCTTCCTTTGATAACTGTGATCTGGGTGACTTCGACTCTTCACAGACATAATGCACAATTGTTTTTTAGATTGATGCAATTCTTGGAAAACGAATGAGAAACAACAACAAAACAACAGATTGTGCTCAGGGCAGCGAGAAATTCTTAATTTGTTGTTTATCAGGAACCAAATCTGAGACGTTTGCTGGTGTGCTCACCAGCTGGCAGTTTGTTTGGGAATATGATATTATGTGGACCGCAATGCTAACTGACATGATAAGGGCCATAACTGGGTCACGCTTTATTACAGAGGTCCGGTAATAAAGAGACTCACTTACAGTACGTCTCTTTCCGTAAGCGGATAACCACAAGCCTGTGCTGCTTTAGACCTTGCACAAAGAAGGAAACCTGTAATACAGGTTATAGTTCCTTAATGCAGAGTTACACTGCTGACAAATGGTACAAATGGTTTGCTTTTCTAAATTAATGTATCCTAATTATGTAGGACTAAAAAAATACAGTGATAATAAAAATAAATATTGGACTATTGGACTGCAGACACACAATATTAAAGCACTTAGATCGATGCTGGGAGCAAAAATAATTTGATTAGGCCCTGAGTCCTCTGACTTTCCAATGCGATAGATTTCTCTGTTAATAGTCAGATTAAGCAGAGGGTGTAGTTTATTGAGGGCCTCTTGTAGAGGGCCTTATGTCAGAATCTGTTAGAATATAGATATACCATTGATATTTCAGCTATTGTTCATACATTGGTGCATAATCTCCTAAAGTACTTTGTTTAATCAAATGAAGGAGTACAGGAGCCCCAAGCAGATTAATCCAGCCATGTGCCATATGTAAGGGTTTCACTTTGTGTTGAAAAGTGGCGGGGGGTCAGATAGGTGTGTGACACTACAGTTTTAGCTCACGAGACGTGACGATGCACAATATTGTGTTCAAGATATTTTAATACTGTTTTAAAGAAATATTCAATGCTGAAACATATGAGTGAGCTTTAAACACTTAATTTCCTGCATTCTGGAGACATTTTCTGCAGCAATTCTTGGTGGCAATGTCTTTATTTACTTAAAGGGAAACACACAAATCATGTGACAAATTTTTTTTGCCTTAAATTACTTTTTCTGGACAAGGCACATTTGTTTCTGATGTGCATTGCATGCAAACTTTCTCAAGCATTTTCATTTGTTATTTAACATTACTTGTTACAAGCTGTTTTTCAGAACATTTTAAACAAAGTGGGCACATGTCCCAGTGTCCCCAGTGGGCCACAGGTGGTACAGTAAGAAGAAATACAGCACTATAATGAGCTCTCTGAGGAAATTTGACCCCCTCTCCCCTCGGGACATCCACACTTAGTCACACAAAGCCTCGCGATATTCGAGCGTAGCGCTGGGACTGGAACATATCGTGAGCTAAATGTGTGTCTGCCGATTGTTAGCAAGCGTTAAATCTCGATGCCTCTAACACATACATTTAGCACAGTTGACAGATAAATCGAAGCATCCCTATATGCATTTAATGAGGAATGACACATTCATCCAAACACCCGGCCTCTCCTGAAGGCGCAGTGTGTCCGTAACTGTCGCTAACTGTGCTGCTGCTAACCAGCTAAGTGGGGTGCTAACATCCGGTCCGTAACGTCCAGTAAAACCAGGAAGGAGGGACCAGACGATCAGGCAGCTTGGCCTCAAAGGTTGCTCTACTTCTGCAAACATTTATTCATTAAAAACGAACCTCGTCGAGCCTTGTGAAGACGGGGAAAAGGTAATTACAACGTAGTTCAGACGTAACGTTAGTTGAGTTTAGTCGCTAAGCTGATATTTGACGCTAGCTGCTGCTTTGCTAACGGAAAAAGATTGAGAAACGTTAAGCAACGCTGGTGCTCTCAGGAGCATTATCGATAGCTTCATTCTGTTTTATTGAACTTAAGTATTGGCTAACGTTACAATGCCGTGTGTCCCCGCAGCAGCACGTCAGGCAAAACCAAGTATTTTTTACGTTATATTGTCTGTAGCTTGTTGTATCTGGGACCTGTTTTCTGTAGGTTATAACTTTAGGTAACCTTGTCTTGTCTCTTTGCACATAGCCGTTAATGATTAGTAACAAAAGTAACTAAATAAACAACGCATTTAGCATTAATCCCACCGTGGCTTGTGTGGCTGAAATGTTTTTTCCCCACCCTTGACATTTAACTTATGCCAGGTGGATCTATATTTGCGAATTATATTTGGGATTTTAAGTGTAATAACGTTACGAGTTATTGTAGACAGCTATATGAAATTATATTTTGGCAGCTACATTTTATAATATAGCGTTAACGGACAGGGATCAGTATTAAAATACTACATTATATGCACTTTCAAGAACTTGACCTTAACTTTAGGGAAATACTCAATTATCAGAACAGTCAAATGAGTCCTGCGTTTGACTTCTAACACTTTCCGGTTTCTCACACAGATATTTCCCTCCACCGTTAAAATGTGTCTGTCTTTGGTGGGCTGGTGCATGTGCTTTGTTTCACTTCAGCCCACACAACCGGCCTGGCTACTTTTAAGAGTAAACCATAACCAGTTTGACATCAAGCTACACCAGAGCACACATTATGTGATGGATAAGATGAGTTATGGCTTAGAGAAACAAGTAGTACTGCATATGCATATTTACTTTCACTACATGTAAAGGTTAATTGTATTAAAGAGCAGGGTGTACAGCCCTACAGACTAACTCCTGTACTGTCAGAGACGGCATGTGGTGATGCACTTGAAATTATTCATTCTTAGTTTCACTTCCTGTTAGTGTTTATGTTAGAGAGAGAGAAATGGGCTTTTGGTGGCATACAGTAGACTGATGCACCTCCTTGTAATTATTATTCAGGGCATACATGGAATCTGCAGGCCCTTGTTCAGAGAAGAGCAGAATCTGAGATGATGCTCTGAATACCAACTCTTAAATTACCTAATTGTTAAAATAAAAAGCTTATAAAAAGGTATGTCTTTATGCATTTTTCACACAGTAAAACCTGCTTTTCAGGGATAAAACTCATAATATTAAGCAATATGGATTTTCTTTTTTCATGAGAGACTCGCAAAAGCAGGTTTCCCCTAGCTTATTGCTTACCTTAATTATGTGTATTGAAAGTTTGAGGTTCAGCGGAAGAGCAACGAGTGCCTTTTTGTCCCCCAAATTTGGGGCCTAGGTGGTAAAAAAAAAACACTCAAGTGTCTTGCTTTAAATGTGTACAGAGATGGGAAACTATGAACATGTAGCAACCATTGTTTGGAACATAGCAACTGTTGTCCCTTTAAACATAAAAGAAAGCATGCATTCCACAACATTCAGTATGCATTTAATTGGGTTCTTAAAGGGAATCTTGAATAAAATGCTTCAGACTTTATCTTGGAGTAGCAGGTTGACGTCATCAGTACTGCCTTTTCAATATGAAGATCCTGGTACAAGTCCCTGGTGTAGTAAAAGCATTCTCTTTGCCTGACTGCACTAAAGCAACACTAAATGCTCAAGGGCTGCTGCTTTGCAAGACACTGATGCTCTGATGTCCATTTTGTAGAAGAGATGCATAAAGAGAAATATTTTGAGGCATTATTAGAGCTGCTTGGCAGATAGGCAGCAAGATGGACAAATGCTGCAAAATACATACTGGTGGGTTTGTTCTTTGACTTGGCTGTTCTTTGTCATTGCAGTCTCACTATTGACCTCCTTAAAGTCATGTCATTTTAAAATAATTTTTTTTCTTCTTGTCAGGCATTGTAATCAGAGAGTTCAGTGTGTAAGTGCAACATAGTGACTTCCATGTAAGCGGGCCCTCGGTGTATGTAGAGAGACTATCGGGAAATGAGGGAGAGAGGCAACAAAGGCCCCAACAATAACACTAATAACAGAATTTCACAGTATCGCTAATATGAAGATCTCCCACAATCGCCTCCAGAAACTAACAACACAGAAAACAGTTTCCCACAGAGCAGATTGTGTAGCTCTAATTAGACTTGTTTGAGACGTGTTGCAGAATCTGATTCTGTATTGTTGGTTATATCTAGATGTTGGAAGGGTCATGTCCTTGAACATCTGAACGGTTTACATTAAATTGTGTCTTATGTCAAGCTTTCTTTCACTCCTTAAGCAGCAGCCTTCACATCAGGAGCTCAACCTGTCTCAAATTGCTGCCGGCTCATGAGCACATGTTTACGTGCCTCTCCAGCTGTCTGCTATAGTTATAAAACTGACTTGTAGGCCTGTTGTGTTGATATCACTGCATTGGTTTTGATTTATTATTGTCTGACCATTTCAAGGTCATGTGGGGCTTTAGGGGCTGGGATTGGAGGTTTGAAAGCAGCGAGGTGCAGGGGTCTTGATGACCCGCGAAAAGGTTTCATGTATGCTGCGAGAACCAGCCTGTCAGCTGGTCTGGAAACATGTAGCTGTATAATCCTGAGAAGTATGGGGAATTTGCTTGAATTAAAGTTGATTTTTTTTTTTCATAACGTTTGGTACCTTTTTCATTCCCTTAAATTGTGTTGTTGTTGTGTGTGTGTGCAAACAAAATATTCATATCAACTACACCTTATTTAGCCAATAAAATTAACTTGTTTTCTTATGTTTTGAAGGAAAAGAATATTTATACTACCTAAGTGGAAAGATGTCGAAGGCTCCAGATTCTCCAGCTCGTTCCCATTCCAGATCAAGATCCAGATCCAGATCTTACTCCAGATCTCACTCTAGAAGTCACTCCCGCTCAAGATCCAGGAAACGTCGCTATAGGTAAACGTTGTTTAAATGTTTTTTGTTTATGACATTAACCGACATCATTAAATTGGTTTTGCGTATTTGGTGTTTATATTCAGCAGTTTGTATTTTGAATGATCATATTTATCAAGTACGCTTTTAAAGGAAATGTTGTACAGTGATTATAGAACAGCTACAAGGAGTTGGTTGGACTAGACTCAATGAACTGTTATATTGAAGGAGTTGGTTGAACGCTAGACTCAATGAACTGTTATCATTTTTATAATTGTTAGTGATTAAGTTTTTCTAATGTACACTACTACCCACGATTTTGGTTAACTGATGTGTTGAAATACCACTTGAGCCTTAAGAGGCAGTAGTCCGATATTATGGCTTTTTCACCCGCTGCTGCCAAAATTTACCCGCGGGATAAAAAAAATCATGGAGCTATCCGCCACTTTGACTGACGTGGAAAATGCACAACAGAAAGACACATAGTAGTGCATTGTGGTGACACGCAACACATTCACACAGCCCAGTCAGCTCAGGGAACATCTGTTGCGGCGTTTCAAACCAAACTCACCAGTCTGGATGAGACCCAGTCCGTGACAGCCAGTCCGTCCTCATTGACAGCCATTGGCCGGACTACGGGAGGTAACTCCGGTGTTGTTGAAGAATTAGGCTACTAAGCTTGTCTGTTAGATGTGAGAGATGTCACTTAGTTTTATTTTCATTGGCCAACTTTAGTTTTGAAACTTAGTATTTTTTGTTTCCTTGCTGGGATCCAGAAGAGGAGGTTTTTGTTGAGATATGGACTCTTGTGAAGATTTGAACAGACATAAGGACTCATTGGTGATTGAGCTCTGACTGTTTAATACACTGTGGTGAACTTTGATATTATATGATATTATTTAATGCCATGACTCTCAAATGATCTTTCTGTTAAATTATTATAATGTGATACTTCTTCTCCTCCACTGCTCATCAAGCAACCTATTTTACTCTGTCCCTTTCAAATGTGCTTCCTTGTTATCATGGCTGACATAAAGAGTAGTAATACATTTCGATCGTGCATCTTCCATTGAAATACCTGGTTGTTAACTATGGTGGAGAAATAAAACACATGAGTCCTTTGTGTATGCAAAGATCAATATGTTGAACATTGAATGACATTAGTTACATTAAATTATTAATCAGCTGAATGTTCCCTCATTTAGCTCATACATTTTAAGTGGCTGAGTGGCAGAACAAAAAATAATTCTTGCCTGCCACAGTGGTGAAAAAAGTAAATTTCAGGCCTTGCCTCCGTAGTCCTTTCACATCATAATTGTACACAAGAGGAAGGAGCACACACATGTAGTATAAATACGTATATAATAAATAGTTTGTTAATTAACTCTGTGTTACTTGAAAATTTGTCGCTGTGCTCATAAATTTTTTCATATAGGAGAAGGAGCACATGTGCTTCTTGTGAAAAAGCTTAGCATAGAGCCCTGTCATTGTTCTCTTACTCTTTCTAGGTTTGCTCTTAATTTGCATACATGCTTTTCCTGTGTGATAGAACGGCTGACAAAGCCTCAAGCAAATTGTGTCAGCTCACCCTTATACTTGGTAGTCATCATTTGTATTTGTGTTTTTGCAAGTTTTAAGATGTCAATCAATATACCCAATATAATGTTTTATTTTATTTATTATGTTTTTCCCCAGTGCTACCCACGCTGGCTGCCATGTTGTTTTCAGTCTATGTTTGTAAAGCCAAAAGGTTTAGCACTTTCACACACAGCTCCTCCTTAAGCATTGCTACACCGCATGTCAATGATTGTCAAAGGACATGGGAGTAGCGAGCAAGTACTGTTGCTGTATCTCCCTCCCCCTTTACTTCCTCCCCCCTCTGTGGTTTAGAGCAAGTGCATCCTGGGTATACTCTTTGTCCAACACAGGCCACACAGACTGTCCTGCTTGGGGGAGTACACTGTAGTTTGTGTGTACTGCAGCACAGTTCAGGACGGCTCTGTTCCAATGACAAGGTGCAAGGGGTAAGCAGATAAATGACAATTCTGTGTTTGCATTAATGTAGCTGGCATGTACTTGTTAGTCTATTACTTTACAGACCATCAGGACAGGTTCAGAACAGCAGTTCAAATTATACGTGCTTCTGTACCTGAATTTACTTGGTACTTTACATTTCCCTGCAGTAGGAAGATTGTTGTTGTTAACACACCTGTGTTCTCTCATAAGTGTTGGACTTTCCAGTTGCAGATATTATGTCATGGGTGATTAGTTTGGTCTGTCATCATGTCTTCTGTCCTCAAGTTGAAATCACATTAAACTCAAGTTTTCACTCTCAGTGTTGCTGCTGCAACACACAGACCCTTTTAAAGTGAGGATGAGCCTGCTGTGCTCAGTGGCATCTTTCCAGTCATCAGTCTCAGCTTATATTGCCCCCTGGTGACTTGATATACACATGGGCAGTGGTGGGTTCTCTGTTTCTTGTCCAAGCTATCTAAAATAGGTTGTTGGGACCACAGGGTCGCCCTTGTGTTACACCTAAGTGTCCGCAAAAAATGAGGAATAGTTTGTCTGATATTATTTCAATGTTTTTTTTTTAGATGTTTCATTCTTTCCACTGTTGCAAAAAGCATATTCCATGTGCTCCATCTACTGGTTAGATAATTTAATTATCAGTCCTATGTTTTAATATAGCATAATGTAACACAAGGCTGCACCTAACTATTCTTTCATTGTCTTTTAATCTACTGATTTGATTTATTGTTTTGCCTACAACTTGGGAGAAAATGTTGAAAAAATGTCTGTTGTGAGTTGTCAAAGACCAAGATGACCTCTTCATATTGCTTTTATTGTCCATCCAAGAAAACCCCACAAATATTGCATTTACTATTATAGAAGACAGAGACACAGACCAGAAAATACTGATAGTTGGAACCATTGACTCTCGCTTAAAAAATTACAAATGATTAATTGATTTATTAAAGTTTTTGTAATTGAGTAATTATGTTGGCGAACCTCTGATCCTTCAGGGTCATTCTAGGGTCATGTGGATATTTTAGTGGAACGACTCCATTCTTTGCAAAGGTTTTTTAAAAGTCTTAGAAATGGCTCTGAATGAGGAAATACATTTTATTTTTGAATGTTGTTTTATAGTTTGGGCTCTGTACCATCTTAACGGTAAATAGAATTAAACCCTGAGGGTTTACTCTTGAGCTTGAAGACAGCAGTTTGACAAAAACAAATAACTCCACACAAAGTCTAACTCAGTTGTTTCTCAAACTTTCAAATGGGGATGTGAATAGGCGTGGACTGACTCCTGTTGATGACTTCCCAGTCAATGCTGTGGGCACTTTGGTGTTCACAGATAGCTGATGCTGTGTGTTACTGGTGTTTTTTCACTATTTTGTTTAGGGTCCTTGCTGTTTCACTGACGTAGCATCCCCCATAAGAAAAGTAGCATTGTGGCTACAGTCTTAGCCCTTGCCCTCAATAACATAAGTTTTCTGTCTTTTTCTCTCTTCTCTCTCATCCAGTTCTAGGTCCCGTTCCCGCTCTCGCTCTCACTCTCCGTCCTACAGAAACTATCCAACCAGGGACTATCAGAACAACAGAGGTGGGTTCAGAGGCTACAACCGAGGCTACCGGAGGCCCTTCCACTACCGTGGCAGAAACCGAGGCTATTACCAACGTGGTCATTACCAGAACAGGGGAGGAGGCGGAGGCTATGGCTATAAGGCCAATTGGCAGGGTGGTGGTGGTGGTGGAGGCTGGCACGATCGCCACCATGACCAGGACCACCATGCACACAGCCCCAGGAGGGGGCGCTCACGCTCCCGCACACCTAAGAAGCGTTCAGGCAGCCGGAGCCGCTCCCACTGCTCTGACCGCTCGTCTTCGGGGAGATCTCGTCACTCTAGGCAGTCGAGCTACTCCTCACGGTCCAGGTCCTCATCACCCCACCATCGCAGCAACAAGGGAAAGCCTGGCGGCAAGGATGCTAAGGACAAGCTAGCAGAAAGTCGACCAGAAAAATCCGATCGGACAGCAGATGGCGGTGACATCGAGAAAGCATCTGCAGGTAAATGGATTGACTATGATGCCAGCCCTAAACGAACCAGCCCAGAGACTAAGAAAGAGGATGCTTCCACTGATCCTGTGGGTAAAGCGCCTGGGGCTGGCGGCCCTCTATGGAAAACCATCGGCAGCGCATCGTCCCCTCCAGCAAAGAGCCCCGCAAAATCAGGACAAACCGCCTCCTTCAGCGGCTTTGGTTTCTTCTCAAAAGAAGATGCCATGCTGCCAGCTGGAGATAAGAATGTGATCTCTGCTGCCTTCAAAAAGTACGTCTAGTACCTTTTTAGCTACTTGAATGAATATCCGTTTTCTTTTTTAACTTTCCTAACTAATTGTAAACGTTATTTTTCTTTCAAACATGTTTAGCCCTTTTCAAATTTTCATTTTCCTTGGAAGAATACAGGTTTAAAAGGAATAAATAAGAGTCCTGATTATAAGTGCATTGAAAATGTAGCCGGCTGTTGTCCTTTTCTGTGGTGGTTACGTGAGTATAATTATTGCATTGTGATTCCTGGTCTTTACTGTTTGCAACAGGGATGGGCATTTTGTTTTTAGAAGTGATCAAGAAAGCAGCAGTAAATTGGCCTGTTCAAGCCTGTGAGAGCGGTTGGAAATCTTTGGAGTAAGGCCAGGATATGGATTTAAGAGTTTAAAAAAACACATGGAGCAATATTTCTCTTTTTACATACACAAACACATGAAAAAGGTGTGGTACACTTTCAACACATAATCAGTTCAGTAACTAAAAGTTCTTTCTAGGCAGTAAAGTATGCACGCGTTTCCTTGTACACTTGTGTCAGTAACATGTCAGTTTGGAGCAAGGAAGGAGAAAAGTTTTGCAGGAAAACAGTTGAACAATTCTTACCATGTGGTTTTAAACATGCCCATCCATTCTGTGTATGTATTTTTTCAGTTTGTTGTGTTTGTGTAATCTTGTTTTTCCCTCTTGCATTCATTTCAGTCTGAAGTGTTAAAATAAGCATATTAGTCATGTGCCTGGTGTTGCAGGTACTAAAACTCAGTTTGGTTCTCTGTTTTAGGTTCTTGGCTGAGAATAAAAACAAAAAGCAGGCTGCTGAAAAGGAGAATGGTCGTGATAAGGAGCAGAGCACCACAGAACTCGAGAAAGGAAGCAAGTCTGGAGACCTTTTCAACATCTCGTCCACTTCTTTCAGCGACTCCAAGGAAGACCGGACCATGCCTTTCTTTGATGCCGGAGAAGAAGAGTTCCTAAAGTCTCATGGGCTGAAAGAGCGGGACATCGACGAGGATGGCGCGATGAAAACCACCCTCACAGATCGGGACATTTTCGGGAAATGGGGGGATGAGCCAAGCTATTCAAAGTCCTACCCATTGGCTAAAGAGAAAAGCCGAAGAGATGCGGAAGAGGCAGAGCACATAGATCACATGGAGGAGGAGTTGTACCGAAGCCGCAAGCATAGCTCTAAGAAAGAGGAGAAGGCCAAGAAGAAGGAGAAGAAAGAAAAGTCCAGAAGGAGTCTGTCCCCTCCTGTCAAGGAGCGGCCGCTTTTCCCTGGAGCGTTTCCTCCTAGTGAGTCTCCTGTACGACACATGACTGCATCAAGGGAGGACTTTGAACTGAAAATTGGTTCTTTAGATGAAATGCCCAGGTACGTGTAGTATTATCCATTCATATACTGTACACCGTAGGATTACTGTATTGGCCCGAGTATAAGACGACCCTCTCTTTTTAAACAAATAGACTTTCTTTAAAGAAACAGCAGTTCAAGAGTTGTCAGGCTCTTCGAAACATCAGAACGATTTTCTCTGGCTTTAGTCTGAGTTCCCCATTATGACACTTTATTACCCTGGTAAATATTAACTTTACAGTTGATTCAATCCCCTGTCCATTTTTGCAATACAGAACATTTCAATAAATTTCACTTGTCAGGAATTTATTTCCTTTGTGGCAGAATAACCATCAAACTCCTGTAGGTTTAACATGACTAACTAAAAGCCTTTTAAGGCTAACTGACTCACTGTAAACAGATGTGAAGAAAGATGCTAGCCTAGCAACCCAAAGGCTACAAACAACCCATAATGCAACATGTTCTGTTATCAATTGCATCCAAATGAAGCACTTTTTTTTTTTTTTTTTTTTTCAAACTGAATTTAATTAATGCGACGTGAAGCTAATTCTCCAGTCGGGTGCCATTAAACCATTGCAGAACACAAGAGCGCGATTATCTTAATTAAAAGAGTCAAACCTTAAACAGTGGGGAAACCATGTAGAAATGGAAATATAGCATTTATGTTTCATGTATTAATCTGAGGAATGTCTCCTCATCGCACCAGACAGAAACATTGTTTTTGTCTCTTCAGTGGGGGTTTAAGTCACGTGCTTTGTGTACTTCATGATTCATTCACTAAGTCTGTTTCCATTTCACTCGTGGATTTTTTTTTTTTATAGTTACACGGACTTTTCCACCAAATTGAAACGCACTTTGAAGGAGCTGGTGGCCCAGTTAGTATGTACTAATATCAGACTAATATCTGATGACATGAATATGCAGTAACAGTCCTGGAACATTATACAACCCCCTCGTCCTGTATTTGGGCCAATATGGTAGATGTCTTTGCTTTAAAGTGTTCTTGCACTACTTGTGCCTCACTTCTTCTGTTCTTTCAGCTCTTCCCTGTCTAAAGATCGCCTCATGCCCCGAGATCTGGTCAATCCCACTAAGAAAGATCCAGAGTTTCGTTCCATTTTCCAGCACATTCAGACTGCACAGCTCCGTCGCAGCCCCTCTGAGCTGTTTGCTCAGCACATAGTCTCAATTGTGCACTACATCAAAGGTATAGTATGACTGGTGCTGGTTTGGACTTTTCAGACTCAAGACAACAGCAGTTTGAACAGTTGACGAGATCCACTGGACATTTCATGACTTCAATATGTTAGTTACCACAGCTGGTGCTGCTGCTGTATACAGAATAATAGTTTTTTTGTCTTTTATTTGCAGCTCAACATTTCCAATCCGCAGACATGACTTTAAGTGAGCGCTTTGCCATGTACCAAAGAAAAGCTGCAGAGGTAGAAATGATGAAGCCAAGGAAGAGCCCAGAAATCCACAGGTATCCGCAACGTCTAGTTGTCTGATCTTCAAGTGATGTTTTTAACAAAGCATTTACATTGTGCCGTTTCCTTGCCTGCTGACAACAGTTCTTCTCTTCCTCTCTTAGGAGAATCGATGTTTCCCCCAGTGCCTTTAAGAGGCACTCTCACCTGTTTGAGGAGATGGAGGAAACAAGCTACAAGGTGACCAGCCCTTTTGAAATTTGACGTATTTGGAACAAGCAAATTTGAGACGATCCTTAAGCAGCAGTGTTCAGCTTTGTGCTTTTCTTTCAAAGGATGCATATTTCTAAATCAAAAGAGCCCCATTGTGTTTTGTAAGTGCCAAGCAAGCCCCCCAGCCTATATGGTTATTGATTGGGTATGTACGCACCCAAGCAAAGGCTAAAAGGAAGTGAATTAAGATCCTGAGTCCAAGCCTCTCAAGGAACGCTTATCAGTGACTGTACCTTGTAAGTATTTTTCCTAAAAAGAATCAAGCCACAAAAAAAACCTGTGAAATTCAAGTTATTTTAATAAGCTACATGCATGCTGCTGGTTTCCACAAATACTTTTATATTGAATTGTGAAAAGTAATTTTTTTTAGGAAGTAAGCATTTTGTATTCTTTTTCACTACACGTAGTGTTTTACTGCATCTGTGCCCATCACAGTTATGTGTAATGTAATAATTGTTAGTATTCACATTTTGCTGTAACTGCAAGAGGGAACACAGTGCTTTTTTATTTTCTGCATCTTTATTTGTATATTTGAATCTGTGGGTATATGTATGCTTGATTATTTCATTCAAAAATCAGTACAGCAAACAGCTGCTGTAGTGGCTAATAAACACTTATCTCTGCAGGATCCAAGTCAAAAGTTCAAAGGTGACGTGATGGACCTTCGCCTGGATATTGAAAGGCGTAAGAGGTTTGCTGGGAAGGAGCGCGACTACAAGCGTGAAGGGGGCAGGAGCCCAGGAGGCTCCCGAGGGCCGAGCAGAGAGAAGTCCTCTGAGAAATCCGGGAAGCACCACAAGAAATCAAAGTATGTTTAGTCTGTTGTCTCAGCAACTCCACTAGAGGTCGACACAGGCCTGTGTTCAGGCAAGAAACTGGGAATTTATTTGGAGGAGTGGTTACTATAGTTAGAGGGGACATGTTGCCATGTTGGAGGTCTGAGCACCACAATTACCACCTCGTCATGTCTTCTTTATTTAAGTATCATTTAAACACCCTACCTCTGCAAAGAGTTGGGCGCTTCTTTTGGTTATACAGCAGTTGGCTTAGTGTTCATTGCATTATATAGTAGTTTTTTTGCTAGATGAGCATTTGATTCATGAGAAATGCATTGCATTTCCTGCACTCTTTTAGAATTAAAAGCATTCTTGGGTTTAACGATGGAAAGCGCAATATGAAGCAGCAAAAAATACAGCTCTTACATTACTGACTGAGAGTGGCCCAGAAAACAGCCGTATTGGGAACAAAACTCTACTACACAACTACACCCTGCTCCGCTGTGTGAACAGACATGAATATTTAAAGGATGGTTAGTTCATCTGTTTAAAGGAAGATTTAGGATGTTGTTAAAGTGAAGAGGTGAAAACATCGGTCATGTCTCCTGTAACCTGTGTAACCACCCTACAAACGTTCTTCAGCCTGCACATTATTCCTTCAAACATCAAAAATGTTGTCTTGTAAAACAAATTGTTCTAACATTCACATCCAACTTTTTATGTTTGTGCTCCTAGGAAGGGTAAGAAGAAGCGGGATCGCTCTCCATCCTCCTCTTCCTCTTCCTCCTCTCCATCTCCCTCCCCTTATCCTCCACACTTCAGAGGTAAAGAGTACATGGGAGAGGGGATGGAGCACTCGGAGGAGGGCTACAGTCACCCACGTTATCCTCCACGGGACTACACTGGGCCCGCAGACAGAGGCCCTCGAGATTACGAGGGCCACAACACAGAGAGAGGCCGAGGCCGCGGATTTGTAAGTTCCTCTCTGTCTTTCTTCATCTCTTCTGCTGTATTTGTTTGTTTTTTTTCCACTGAGGTACTGACATCTCATCTTCTTGCAATTCTCTGTCCTAATGGCACCACAGTAGACTACGCTTCTCTGCTCTGTTCCTTCCTCCTAATGCTAAAGGAACATAATGTGGATGATGATGATAATGATGATGACACTCTATCATACATATTCCATGTACTACCTGATTTTTATTAAGGTAATGTAGCGCAGATCAGTGGAACTTCACCTCATCACTAAACAAATGCCTGATTTCCATCAGTATAGCTTTTATTTGTGTGTTCTGTCGTTCTCATTGTCCCTGGGTCGCTTTTTTACTCTGACCGGGACCAAGTTTATAAAATATTCTCCCATTTTATTGTGTAAAATGTATTTGTCCCTTGACTGCAAGTTCAAATCCACCTGTTGTTTTGCTCTCAGTTCCCCAGAGTCCGAGGGAGAGGTTGGAACAGGGGAAATTATCCAGGCAACAGCAGCAATGGAAACCCTGCCAATATGAATCCTCCAGTGCGCCCTCCAGAGGAGGAGTGGGACCCTGAATACACCCCCAAGAGCAGGAAATATTACCTGGTGCGTCTCTGAAGCTACTAATTGATTTAGTGGCATACATAGACGTTTAAAAACATCAAACATAGGCCTTTTTCACTGAAGACATTTTGACATTTCACAGTAGAAATGAAATGATATTAAAATGATTGATGGCTGAATTTCATGTAGCTGCTTCTCTTTCAGGGTCCTCCTATTGTGCATGCAGGCTCACTGTCCCACTGTCGTGGCTTTTTGGGACACTGTAGCCATTGTTAATGTATTGAGTAACACATGTGCTTTCCCTACCTTGACATGTCAAAATGTCTGCTGTGAAAAAGGCCCATCAACCTACTCAACATAGTTTTCAGCCAAAGTTGGACAAGGTTTGTTTATTTCACATGCTATTTCTGTTTGTGCTGTTTTGATTTGAAATGATGCACCGTTAGCAACATTTGATTCAAAATGTGACGACAGTTGTGGGGTTGTTTGCTCATGTTGCTTTCAATCAAATAGGTTCATCAGCACCCACACACTCGTAATGAAGCAGATGAGCTATATAATAGCTTTTATATAATAAGCTTTTAATAACTAAGGAGAAACAAATACTCAAGGTTTTCATTTTACATTAATGGATTTGTTCCTGTTAATGTTCAAGTTTACAATTAGAGTGTAGGCCAGATAAAAACCACTGTAGTCCTCATGCTTTTGGATACCCTACAACTTTAATGAGTAGCCTGGGCTTTTATTTGCTTGTATTTTCATGTTCATTTGGGAAAGACGTCTGTTTGGCAGAGGCCTTTATTCCTTTTTTACAAAACTCTTGCTCAGCAAAGATGGGAAGGCTATTATGAAATTGTTTATTTCAACCAGTATGAATATTACTTGTAAAAATATTACTATAAAAATGATGCTATCGGATAACATATCAATCTAGCTCTGAGAGACATCTAGGCAAACCTAATGCAGAGAGAGAGAGTGAATGAGAGAGACTACCGTAGACAGGATGAAAGCTGAAGGTTGATGTAGTTATTTCAACTTTGGATTCATTTTTATGAAAAACACTTTTGATTGTTTTAATCGGTGGACCCTTACGAACTAAATGAATAGAAATAATTAAAGAATGAACACTTATTCTGACTTAATGACCGCTTTAAAGTTAGGGAGTCACCACTTCTAATCTAAATGAATTAGACTTTGGTGCCCATTGTTTCCTTAAAATGAACTGAACGATTGAATTGTGGAGAATCTATTCGATTTGACAATGTGTAGCATGTCCATACTGACAAAATTTTCCAAAAACAGATCCGGCGTCTAATTGAGAATGTTTATTTGTCAAAACGTGTAGCCACACCAGGCCAGTCAAAGGGACAGGCGTCTAATTGGACTAATTGAGTTTTACGGTATTTGCACATCCCAAAAAGATTATATGGTCTATAACAACTTCCTAAATGTTGGAATGTTAAGAACCAAGAATTTATCAACATTGTAAAGCCCAACTGGACCAATACTTGTGTTTTTAAAGACAATTTTTAGGCCAATTTTGCATCATTATAACAGAGTATAGATGCCAGCAAGACACGAGAGCATAAAGAGAATGTATGACCCCTGTCAGAATCACACCAGGGACGTTCAGGGACTAAAGTTCAGTAGAATCACAATTAACTTATTCAATTTAAGTATGTGATGATAATTTTAATAATAGTAAAGACAGTAATCCTGAGGGAAGAAGGGGCTTGGTGCACAGCAGCAAACTCAACTCTGGACCAACTTAAAACTTCTTCATAATTATTTAAGCATTGCTGTAAAACTTTCAAATTATTTATTTAAACACAGCAGAAATGCTTATAATGTGTAAATAAATATAAATAGTCTGGAGTTGAGTTACGGGGGTTCACGATAAAGATTTCTTTCAAGTTTAAAGGCTCCTGAGTGATTATGGTCAGAACAAACACTTGATGCCAAACAGTGGATCACTTCACAAATCTGAGGTAGAACATTCAAAACAATTAAGATAAAACCTTTTTCAGTCCATTAAGTGCTAATTCGTTTGTGATTCAAATGAATTAAATGAAACATTTATTGAACATTTGTTATATTGTTATTGAGAAAAATTTTATCGCAATAATTATCATTAGCGCTACCTTTAACGTTGCCCTTGTCGCCTTCCAGCATGACGATCGCGATGGCGAGAAAACCTGGATAGACAACCGCGGAAGAGGCCGTGGTGCCTTCCCGGCCCGCCGGGGACGCTTTGTCTATCGTAAGGGAGGCAGCAGCCCGAAGTGGACCCACGACAAGTTCCAGGGGGGAGAAGAGGGGGAGCTGGGAGACGACAGCATTGAAATAGACCGTAAAGACCCCAAGAATGCTGGAGATGCCTCCGCCCCCAAGCAGTAGACCACACTCCCTCATTGTCTACATATTCACAAGCGTCTCAGTGTCAGAACGGTTGCATCCCATCATTTAATGGTTAAAACGTGTTCAGTGAGTTTGAGCCTTCTCGCAGTTAAAAGAACTGTAACTGACTTGAATGAAGAGCAACACTCTTAGGTTAGGTTTATTTCAGAGTGTTTTTATTTTAATGTGATGGTTTCTTTTTTTAATCTTTTTTTGATCGTTTTTTTAAGGGAGAACTTACTTAGGCAACAAAGTTCAAAGGTGAATACTCTCTGAAAGCATGAGAAATTAAGAAATGCATTTGTGCCTTAGAAAATAATAATACAGAAATCTGTTTGAAGGCACAGCCCCGGCTCTGAGAGGCACAGCTCTGTACCCGTTTGTCAGTGTAGGGACGGCATTAGACGATGTTCATGACATTGTTTTTCTTTCTTTGTGTTTGGGGCTGTGATAAATCTTTGATGTTACTGCATGAAATGTTTGATTCATACCTCCCTCCACGGGACCAATCAGTAATGGGCTCATGATCGTCAAGTTATCCCGCGTGAAAGTTACAATCCGTTGAACCACTGAACGATTGGTATTTGTCACTTATATTATCAGAGCTTTTTCATATAGTGCCACTTCACCTGTATGTCTCATTAGGAAGTGAGGACATTTTTGTGTGTGTGTGCTATACCATATATTCTCATTGATTGTCGGTTTTCAGTTAAAAACAAATGTAAATTGTAAAGAATTGGCACCGAAATTTCCTGATTGGCTTTAGACTGAACAAACATGTAGACTGATAGTGAGGTAATACAACAGGCTAATACATGTATAGAATAATTAAAAATAAATACTGTGATCATAATATCTGGGGAGGAATATATAAAACCTGAATATGGTTCTTTTTTTAATACAACAGTTACAGTAATACTCTTTCAAAAAAATACCTGCAGTTTAACTTCTGTCATCAACACGAACATTAAAAAGTGGAGAGAAACCCTAACGTGTGATGTTTTGTCAAAGGCAAAGAGAGCGAGAGTATATTTTTAAGAGGTGAATCTTGCTGTGCTGCTTCATCCCACTTTTGACTAATACTGCATGTACTAAACAGAACTGTAGTACTGTATTTTCTGTTGTTTAATCTGAAGTTTAAAACTTTTTACTGTAGCTTTGAATTGTCTTTTCATTTTCAATATTTTTTCCTTTAATTCAGGGCAATTCTGTGAGTGTGTTTTAAATTTTTTGTTTTTTTTAGATCTACAAATGGACAATGTAGACATGTTAGACAGCACACTGTGTTGAACGGTTTGTGATTTACTTCATTGTTTGGGGTCTCACATACTCCAGCGCCACAGTCTGTGTAAAAATATTACCAGTTGCAAAATCAACCATTTCTTTTCCATTTCTGACCTTATTAAAAACTCAATCTGTATAAAAATATTGACATGGTTTAATTTGGCCACAAGCTGGGCCTGCACACTTTATGAGGGTGACAAAATAACCATAAAGCATTGCAGGGCTTCAAATAATGATTAATTATTGATAAATCTGCCAATTATTATTTAATTTTGTCTATAAAATGCCACAAAGGAGTAAAAGAGGCACATTATGTCATATTTCCTAAGCTCTTCATGTTTTCTTTATGCAGAAAATCTTCAATTGTAAAGCAACTACTAACTAAAGCTGTTGTGGCAAAGTAAAGAGTACAGTATTCCCTCTGAAATGTAGTGGAGTAGAAGTACAAGAGTGTACATACCTCATTTGTACTTGACTACCACTTACTATTTATAATCAAAATGTAAACTGATGTGAGCCAGGCACATCGGCTTTCAGCTACATCTTTTTTTTTAAAGAGGTGGTATTATGCTTTTTGGCTTTTTCACTCTCCTTTATTGAGTTATATACACTGCTCAAAAAAATAAAGGGAACACTTAAACAACACAATGTAACTCCAACTCAATCACACACCTGTGAAATCAAACTGTCCACTTAGGAAGCAACACTGATTGACAATCAATTTCACATGCTGTTGTGCAAATGGAATAGACAACAGGTGGAAATTATAGGCAATTAGCAAGACATCCCCAATAAAGGAGTGGTTCTGCAGGTGGTGACCACAGACCACTTCTCAGTTCCTATGCTTCCTGGCTGATGTTTTGGTCACTTTTGAATGCTGGCGGTGCTTTCACTCTAGTGGTAGCATGAGACGGAGTCTACAACCCACACAAGTGGCTCAGGTAGTGCAGCTCATCCAGGATGGCACATCAATGAGAGCTGTGGCAAGAAGGTTTGCTGTGTCTGTCAGCATAGTGTCCAGAGTGTGGAGGCGCTACCAGGAGACAGGCCAGTACATCAGGAGACGTGGAGGAGGCCGTAGGAGGGCAACAACCCAGCAGCAGGACAGCTACCTCCGCCTTTGTGCAAGGAGGAGCAGGAGGAGCACTGCCAGAGCCCTGCAAAATGACCTCCAGCAGGCCACAAATGTGTCTGCTCAAACGGTCAGAAACAGACTCCATGAGGGTGGTATGAGGGCCCAACCTCCATAGGTGGGGGTTGTATCAGCAGTTCCTGCAAGAGGAAGGCATTGATGCTATGGACCGGCCTGCCCGTTCCCCAGACCTGAATCCAATTGAGCACATCTGGGACATCATGTCTCGCTCCATCCACCAACGCCACGTTACACCACAGACTGTCCAGGAGTCGGCGGATGCTTTAGTCCAGGTCTGGGAGGAGATCCCTCAGGAGACCATCCACCTTATCAGGAGCATGCCCAGGCGTTGTAGGGAGGTCATACAGGCACGTGGAGGCCACACACACTACTGAGCCTCATTTTGACTCGTTTTAATGACATTACAGGCAGATCCAACTTTGACATAGTGTGGTTTTCCACTTTGATTTTGAGTGTGACTCCAACCTCCATGGGTTGATAAATTTGATTTCCATTGATCATTTTTGTGTGATTTTGTTGTCAGCACATTCAACTATGTAAAGAAAGGAGTATTTAATTAGATTATTTCATTCAGTCAGATCTAGGATGTGTTATTTTAGTGTTCACTTTATTTTTTTGAGCAGTGTATCTTTTTTGTGCATGCAATAGGTTTGCAAAGTGAAGTCCAGCCCAAGGGGAGTTCCCATCTCCCCCAGAAAACTCTGCTATGAAATGACTGAATACAGCTTGTCTGTAGTCCAGCCGTTGAAAGCATGCGCCTCATATATCACTCGCCAAGCAGCTACCCCGACATGCCCTCAAAAACACTGGTGGAAAAACACTGAACTGCAGCACACACCTCCTCTCTCTTGGACATAAGGGACATAAAGTTGTTAGTGTGATGTAGAGACAGAGCTCAGTTAAAACTTCGTAGATGAAATATACATTTGTTACAGATTAATAACTCACCACTCTGAAACTCTTGCTCCAGTCTATGTTGCTAAACTGGTTGGAAACATGTAGCCTACAGCTGAACCGAAGCCCTGTTTACCGGCTTCTCACTCACCACTAGGAACTGCGCATGTGCAACTCCCAACAAAGATCATATAGAGGCAAGATGTATCACTCCATAGCTAAAACGAAGCGTTCAACACGGTGAAAAGAGGAGCTGCAGCAATGTGCAGTATGACATAAAATGGTGTTTTTTGAAAATTAAACCATGTAAAACTGTTCTGGTACAACCCATAAATAAGATTTTGAACCTGAAAATGAGCATAATACCACCTCTTTAAAGCTGTCATCAGTTCAGAATCATGTTTATAACCAAATCCCCAACACTTTCAAGGTGGCAAAACAATGTTAAATATCGTACTTTATCTGTTAAAGAGGGACCAAAGACAAGTGTAACAGAATGAGCGCACCATGAGGTCACGAGTGTCTCATGTCAGTATTGAGAGTTGTCTCTAAAATAATAAAATAATCTCGCACTCAGCCAGCAACACTGGACACAAGCACTCCTGTTGTATCATAACCCGCCTTTTCATGGATACTGGAGGAAAATCCAGCCAACAGAAAATGAGATCGTCCCCTGGGACATCGCTTGGATCCACTTGGGGAAGCTCTGCATTGGTAATTTCTACAGTAAAGCTGAGGTAAATGGCTCTTTCATAGCCCCAAACAGACACGTCTTCAGCAGAGAGAGCTGCAGTGCTGGAGCTGAAACTGGGAGAGAAGGTGATGGGAGCTGTGGGAAATATGAACAGGCCCTGTTAAATAGAAACACAGGAAGTGATGGAGTCAGAGAGACAAACTGGGAGAAGAGTGGAGGGTTTCTGTGGGAAGCTGACTTCTCTGCTGCACAGAGGGCTTCAACTAATGACTGTTCTCCTTTTTGATTAATATACAGATTATTTTCTTGAATGATCGTTTGGTTAAATGCTCGCCACAATTTCCCAGAGCCCAGGAGAATGTGCTGAAATAACTAAAATGATTACAAAATTAACTAACAACCTTATTGATTAATCTTATTAAATTATTTATCAAATAAACAGCCAAACAATCTTTGATTCAATTTTATAAAATATGATAGGATTTGCTGCTTTTCTCCTTTATATCATTGTTAATTGAATATTTTAAGGTCTGAGGAATGTCAATCAGACAGATCAATCAATTTGAAGAATTAATTGAAAAACAATTGATCAGTCAAAAAGATTACATCAGTAGATCATGATCAGTACAAAACATATTCAATTTATCATGATAAAAGACAAAGAAATCAGGAAATCTTTACATTTGAGAAGCTGGAACCAGAGAATATTTAGCATGTTTACTTGAAAAACACAGAAAGTAAGGTACTCACTCAAGTACTTTACTTTAAGTACAATTTTCAGGTACTTTGACTTGAATATTTCCATTTCTACTAATTTATACTTCATACTTTATACACTACATCTCAGAAGCAAAAACTTTTTACTCCCCTACATGTATTTGATTGCTTAAATTACTCTCCAGATTTAGTTTGATTTGAATAAAAATGATTTTATCCAAAATAAAATCAACAAATAAATTATGATCTTAACCTATATTATAGATTAGGATAAAAACTCTTTGATCCCCAGGAGGAAATACACAAGCTACCCAGCAGATAAAATATACAAAGTAGTTAATTCAATTAAAGTGAAGTACACATTAATGAATCAATAATTATAATCTGATAATATAGTCTGCATAATGAGTGCTTTTGGTACATATTTTGATGCTAAAACTTCTGTACTTCTACTTAAGTAAAATGTTGAATGCATGACTTTTACCTGTAACAGAGTAACTCTGTGGTATTAATACTTTTACTTAAAGCCCCCCTCCAGTGTATTTTGACATTAGTTGTATGTAATTTACTTAGAACTTACAGTAGGTCTAACTGTTGGTTTGTCTTTCTAGTTTAGTTAGTTAAGTTAACTAAGTTGTAGTTAGCCAGGTGTAGTTAGCTAGCATAGTTATTGCAGAAAGTTGGCTTCATTAAATTTTTTAGTTTACTCCTCTTGGTTTAGTGTGCTGTTCATTTTCATTATGGCATTTGTGCGTGCGGTGTTGGAGGACAGATGACAGAAAACACGTCGCACTTTCACCTGCCACTGTCTTACATATATATATATATATATATACAGTCTGCAACATTAATTTTACTTTTACTGACGGCTGTTTTACATTATTTTTCCATTAATAACCATCTCCGTTTGTGTTTATCATCCTCAGTCATGGTTCTTTTGTGCGCCAGCCCTGTTTTGTACGTATGCACCATTTATAAATGAGACCCCTGGACCCTTTACATAGGCATTCTCGGTGGGCCCTGCCCCAGATGCACGGCTACTGATTTTAGTATTTTTTGGGGCCCTCCTCATATGAGGGCCCTCCATACTCAGTCACCTTTGTTTGGGGGGAGAGGGAGTCAGAAAATGCAGAGGGAACTGTAATTTTTCTTTTGGCTGGAGGTAAAGGATAGTACAAAATAACTTTTTTCTCATCCTAAATATGTATTTTATTTCATTTGAAATGGTTGTACACAATTTCATTAAACAAGTTTATCTAATTTAACACTTAGGCCTATTGTTTTGACATGTTGTGGGGGTTTGTTTGCAGTTTTTAGCCAAGCTAGCTACATGACTGTTAGGATGGCGATGTTCGACCAGTCCACTACTTTGGTCCAGACTGTCATGGTCCCCTCAGGATAAACTGTAATATCTTTGGTGATCCCTGACCTTTCATGTTGTGCCATCTTAAGCACTCCATACTTACACTTTCTATTTTGAGTGCATAAGTGCGTTCACACTGATTACAATAGCAGAATGCAGCACACTGTAAGTACCTGGATGTTGGACGCTGGAGACTTCTCACCGTCAGTGGTCACCATATTGGCTATGCAGTGAAAGGAGAGGGAGCACCAACCTATCTTCAAACATGTGAAACTGGTGACTGAGGACGCTGCAGCAGTTTCGATTGTAAAAGTAAGTTCA